AACTACTACATGACATTTTTTTCTAAACTTACAGGAAGTTTTTCTACTATACCTTATAACTATACATAAACTTTTACTATCAGGCTTTTAAATGTATGAAAAGTGGGCATTGTTTTTTGGCGGCTGGGATTAATCCGAACAATTCCTAGGACCACTCCCCATGGTAGATGCGAAAGAAAATGCAAAGGGATGCAACATCTCTACGCAGCGCCAGTGAATCGAGCTAATCAAAGAGAACTCGGTCGTCGACGATTCGAGTCACTCCGCTCTCTATGCGGTCAAGTGGAAGGAGCTCGCACTGGGGAACCCCGGCCCATAGATGAGAACAGTATTCTACGTGAGGCCAAACCTGCGCTTGTAAAGTTGCAAACGGCGAGCAGGCATGAATCCTGTCCCGCTCTACTGAGTACGCCAAGTTTTTTAGAAGCCAATTTAGCTTTCTCTTCCAAGTGACCATGCATGCAGGTCATTCGATATGTCGAAATTGGGGAGATACGACAAATACGGTGTTCTTTTAGCAGTAAACGCGCAATCTTGTGAATTTGTATAATAATTTATCATGTAACGACTTTTAAGTTCAGTGCTTTCCTAAAATATGTTAGATTTAAAGTGTATTTTTGAAAAAGAGACGAATTTGAAAATATGGAGGCGCTCTCTTATTGGATTTGACGTTTCACGATGTGCCATCGCCGCCTTCCGACCAATCATATACTATTATTTTAGTGTCTAGTGGGCCTAGTGACGTCATCTAAGATGTCACCAATGTGACTGCTGTTTGAATTGATTCTTAGTTATTGGAAATTAAATATTTTATTTCATGATACTAAAATGATGTAAAAAGTTTATATGATTTTTTTTGGTGTGATAGGAATCATAATAAATAGATTAATGATTATTATATCGTAAAGCATTATCGATCAGGTATCATTCCTAAAACGGGTTTTTGCCTTATATTTATTAGCGTCACCTACTGGGAAATAGCTGAAATGTTTTCCTAATAAATATTCAGCGTAGTTTTGCTATGTTTAGCTAGAGGGCATCACACAAGCGCGAGCTCCAAATTTTTGTATGCAAATGTTCCCTATGTCCGCTCTATAGTAAATTTAAATCTCTTTCAGTGAAACCAATATTTGTTTTATTGGGCTATTTTGCGAGCTCCGCAACTTTATGAATGATTATTGTTCGACCACTGTTAATAACTAAAAACCCAAATAACAAAGATTTTTTTTTCAGGTACGCAGAAAAATATTACCTGTTAAGCCGACATGTGAACATAAATGCAAAAAGATACTATGCACTAAAATTCCACTGCACATTTTAAGTCAAATAAAAAAAGGAAACTTGCAAAAGAACACCGATTCCTACCAAGTTAAATTAAACGGGATAAAATCCGTAAAAATTCGTTTCATTTAATGTGTAGTCTTCGCGAAAATATAAGAAATCATTATGTAAAACAAGACTCATTTATATTGAAACATGTGAAAGGTTTAAAAACACAACGTCGCCGTTCAAAACATAGAGAGCTGAAATATATGCTATATTAATGCAGATCACAACTTAAACTGATGCAAGTTCGCCAAAAAGCATTCATTCGGGTTTTGCAAATCAATAGATACCGCGTAGAAAATGCAATAAAGAATTATCACTTACATGGAGATTCTATAGAAAAACGCATGTCCGACAAATATAAGGACAAAAAATGTCATTAAATTAATAAAGAGTAAAGACATTTAAGTGTTCTGAAGCTCATTATTGTCACGGCATTACGAGACGTATGTACTCGCCTTCAGAGCTAAGTATTAATAAAATGGCCAAAATGTGTGTATTTTCGAGCCATTATTAATACATGTTTTAATTTGAGCTTTGGGAGTTCTCGGGTCGATATGTACTCAACTTGTCTTCAGCTTAATGAAAAATTAAAAACTGCGCAAAATGATAGTGATAAAGCTATGCTGATAGTTGAGAAAACAGTACACAAACGTCGAGCTAAAGAACTTTTCTAAATGTTAAAAGAAAACAACCGTAAAATAAAGATCTATAGTTTCGACTGCTAGAAAAACATGCCATTGCTCAAAATACCAGACCAGAGTACCTACTATTCCCGTCAACAGCGCGGCTAGCATGGGCTGGGGACAAAAATTTTATACTCCGATTATATCACTGACAAGATATAAAATTATCTTGTCCCTATGTCAAAGCACGGCAACGGGGAGAAATATATCCCCGTTTGACATAACGAGTAGACATATATCACCCGTCCGTAGCAAGGAGTCAAATGAAAGATGAATAACCGGCCAAGTGCGAGTCTGACTCGCGCACCGAGGGTTCCGAACAAATCCGTAGGTATAGAAGTTTAAAATTATTTAAAATATTTTTATTATATGATGTAACTAAAAATTTATGCTTTTTGCAATTTTTCCTTTATTTGTGCTATAATACGTTGCTTCGTACCAAATTTTAAGATTCTGAGTACACGGGAAGTACCCTGTAGGTTTTGATTCCCTTGCGAATGTAGAAGTTTGATTTTTTCACATTTTATCTACTGTGGATATTATATCCACCGGTGTGCTTATGCTCGAAGGGTGGTTAAAACTAAGCGATGGGGTGAACATTTTCTCCTTTACCCGGGGATAAAATTGTCTCCTGCCCATCCTAGCCCTGCATACTTTTACAATTTCACTATTGTGGAAGGTAACTCCAAATCAGTATTAACAAAAGAAAATGTGTTCAGTTATTGTTGGACAGAGGACGAATTTGCAAAAGATACAAATATCATAGTATCTTCAGTTTAGCAATGGCTTTGCAACCAATGCACTACCTAAACTGAAAAAATTAAAATAATTTGCACATAATATTTTATGGTAAACATGTGGAAATTATTTTATTCTTCATACTTCTTCGAAGTACATTTTTACTTTTTAATTTTAGATTTAATTTTTGACCCTTTTAAATGAACTTATTAACATCACAACCTCAACGCAACAACCAGAATACGTCTAAAAATTATGTCAAAATTTTTGTGTTCCTCCATGTGTTCTTAAAATTTTAATGTGGGCAATTTAAATAAATTGGAGTAAATATATAAAATAGCAAAGATATCGCGTAACATACAATAAAAAACGTATAGTCGAATTATTGTCTAAAAAGAATTTAGTTGAAGTAAGTCTACTAAATAAATAAATCAAAAAATATTAAACTACTTTAATTTGATCTATTTTATTTTTCTGACATTAATCTAGCCTTATGGATTTTTTAACCAACAAAAATGACAATTCCTTTCAGAACCTCACAAGGAAAACTCTGATACTAATAAATAAATAAATGCGGATAGTGCACAAGAACACACAATCGTATATACAAAATAGTGGTCTGCTATATCGGATCGTAGAAAATGAAAATTACAGACGGTAATTTTACCGTGTCTGTGATCGTATAGCTGTAGTGTACAAGCGGCCTTAGTCTATGGGTCAACGTGATCTGATGGGATGGGTCAATCAAGATAAACCCAAACATAATCGAACTTTGAACCAGACTAGCGATGAGCGATTGTTGAAAAAAAAAACAATCGACTGAATCGAAAATTGTACTATTGCGCATTCGATTGTCGATTTAGTAGTTCCTCACCATGATTATTTGAATAACAATCTTCTAACTACTAACTGTAGGCACACCGGAATGTAATGCATGCAAGTGTGCGTCGTCTGTGCAAGGGCGCGTGCGTGTGCGCATGGTGTGTATTTATAATAAATTTTGATTTATTTTAACCAAAAACTTTTAATTACCTAGGCATACAAAGATAAAGTTGACTGATAGATATGTAAATGTAAGAAAATATTTGTTTTTTTGTTTTATTTCTTTTCCTGGTAAATTGAATAATGCTGGCCAATCGCATTCCTAATAAATGCAGTCGTAACTTCTTGTACTACCCACTCATCAATTCTCTGAACGTAACATACGCGGCGCACAGATTGTTATCGACTAACATGGATTGTTATCGAATTTTATCAACTAAACTGAAAAATTGACTAATTCGATTAGTTTTAGTTATAATCGCCCATCGCTAAAGCAGACTATTATCTACTTTGAAGTTGAAGTCTCTATAAAGTATACTCTGTGGTTGAAGTCAACGTCACATTACAAAGGAGTTTTGGCGGGAACTTGACCGGCGGCGGTTTGCTGCTCCTGTATTATTGTTTAAATAATGGTTTGAAGTGGATTTTGATATTTAAAAGTGGTTCGATTTTGTGTATTAAGTATTTGCTCATGTGAACTATTAGTGGAAACGTTGAAACAAGTGCTCTGGTGGTGATGTGATTCTTAAGATAAGGTGTCTGACTGCTTAAGCGCCTTGAGACACCATCGCCAACTGTCAACTGTCTGCTGGTTCAAGTTGTTGGCAAAATCTCCCAAGGGCTGCACAATGTGACGCATCAACATATTGTGAAGCAGTGTACTATGAAGAATAATTATACATTATAACTTCAGGCTCAGAAGGGCTAGAACCCAGAGCTTTAAAGCCAGTTTAAAAAATCAAATTAGAAATTAGGGACGGGCAAGGGAAAAATATATCGAATCTATATTTTTAAACAGTATCGATATATATCGTTTGATAAATATCGAAATATCGTCATTATTTGCATGATGAATAGAATGGAATAGAATAGAATAGAATAATTTTTATTCAATATACATTAGATGTGTAATTCTTATTGAAATGTTTAAATGATGTAAAGAAAGATAAGGTCCAAACTTTTATATTACTGACGGTTGGACAACGAAGCAAGACAACGATAAGCCACCACACTTGAATAGTTTTGTACCTCCTTTTGTTGTTACATGTTTTGTCATTAATACAACATTTGAAAATACATCAAATTAGATACGAATTCGATACTGCAAAATAAATATCGATATATCGCGATTTAAAATATCGGAGACATATATCGAAATTTTTAATATAAAATATCGATATTTTTTGCCCAAGCCTATTACAAATTGTCATTGTCAAAACTTTGTTCAACTTTGTTCAGCTTTTGAGTTTCGTATTCGTACAAATAAAAATAAAGTTTTCGCATTATAGTTGTGACTAGTGTTTGTGACATATAAAAAGGAGAATTTAATTATTACTGTCACGAGATATAATTTTATACATAAACACTTTAATATAGTCGGCTTTGCAATACGCTTTTCTTTAATATATATCTAAAAATTATAACGTAAACTGATAAAGAGTGGTGTCTCCTTGTTGTTATTGCTTGTAGTTGCCATTGAGAAATCAATGGTAGCTGCAGCCTGCTTTCCTGTTACAGTTATATACTATTTGAGGCGAGTTTGAGAATTTGAGACGGCCTCAGAATATTTATTAAAAGGGTCGGCTTGAAGTCTTGTTAATTTTGTTGTACTGGTCCATAGCTTTTCTATCTCCATAATATTTGATTAAATAACTTAGAAATTATATCTATCTACAATTATAGCAAGAACTTAAAATATAGCAGAGCTCCACTCTACTACTAGTGATAGTGATAAATGATGTTTGCAGCGACTCGAAGTATTATGGTAATAAAATTAAATTATCTACCGGATTTACGGTTTTGTCATGTTACAAAGGTAAGTAAAAAGTATTTGTAAGTTGTAAGATTAAATTATTTCACTATTACACTTATTATTGTGCCATTTAGAATAAAACTACACTGTGAGTTGAAGGCATTATTTCTTATTATTACACTTATTTATTATTGTTACACTGTAAGTTGAAATTACCTATTTGTATTTTTTTTAAAAGCTAATGCCATCTTTACATATTTAATTAAAAAAGTAGGATCATCTTCAGATTAACTACTCAAAGTTAATACTCTCAAATTACTAATGTTGGAAAGATCTCTACTTTTTCAATTGAAGTGTACAGTGTTTGCACTCTATTCTCACTTACTAAAATTTAGAACAAAACTACTATTATATTTATTAAATAATCTTGCTTCTTTGACATTGGACTGCAATTGAAATTAAGGTACAACTATAGACATCAGGTACTCATGTACGGGGGTGGGATTTGTAGGCTTCAGGGGAAGCCACCCCTATCTTTTCCCCCCTTGAGGAAATGAATAGTTTATAAATATTTTCTTTTGTAAAATTATAACCTTACTTTTTTACATAGAAATATTGACTCAAACTTACCCTCCCTTCACCCTTGCGTAGAAAATCACAGGCACCGATGCTCACCTCCGCAGCTTCGGCTTAATGGCGGGCGGGCGGGGGCTGCACTCCTTCTATGCCTACGGCTCTACAAAAATACTAGGAGTAGTGGAGACAAGTACTACTTGGAGTAGGGGTGTTCTGATTTGGATAATTAACTTTTTTATGGGTGACCTGTTTCGTTATATGAAATTTTTAGTTAGTGAAATTAATTTTTAGAATAATTAATTCGAAACACATTTTCGAAATCCAAAAATAGTGTAAAAAGTTCAAGCTTTACCCTGACAAGCCTCTCAAACTGAAAATATAATTAAAATCAAGTATCAGACATCTACTTCATAACACTAGACCAAATTGACATTTATACATTTCGTTATACGGGCATTTCTCTGTAAACTGGGCAACTCTCTTAGAACATTTAAAAAATTTTAAATTTATAAAATCTTATTCAGGAGACATATATCCACCAATTTAATAATAAACGGCAGATGAACCCTTAAATATTTCCATTACTTTAGAAAATATTGAGAATTTTCTAATAAATAGATACAGGGGACTGTTGCTTATGTCAGGGGACTGTGTATTTCAATGAAAAATAATATTTCTTCACGCACAATCCCTGACGGGGTAGCCAGAGAGAACAGATCGCCAAGTGTCACGATCCTTACATACCTCTTTCGCTTCTTTCAGATTCATTATCTTCTTCATACATGCACGTCTAGGTATCCGAGTACTCTCGACCCTCCTGTCATATTCAAAGATTTATTGTTATTCTATTTGGGGGTACTTGTTTACTTTGTTCATTAATAAAGTAAATTGAATGTAGGTTGTTTAATATTCACTCATGACACTTGTCTTTTGTAATGCTACCAAGCTTAATAGATAACAATATTCAACCAAGGTGTTTTATTCTATATTCTGAACATAATACCTCCCCTACTCGAGCAATTGCTCACATGGTCTTCGAAAGTTAGTCTCGGTCTACCTCGACACATTTTCATATTTACTTTCGCGCTATATATTTTCTTCACCATTTGGTCATCACTCATTCGCTCAACGTGCCCAAACCATCGAAGCACGCCCTAAATTATCCTTTATCAATTTTTGTGATAAGGTCATCTTTCAAACCTGCCATATTGCGAATTTCTTTATTTCGCTTTCGGTCGGCCATGGTAACGCCGCACATTTTACGAAGAGATCGCATATCCACTGCATTCAACTTACTTTTATGCTTCTTCTGGCATACCCAGGTTTCGCTGCCATATATCAAAGTCGCCTCCCATAGAAATCTTTCTGCTTTCTCTTGCATCCTACGTGTCAAAACCTTCGAGTAAACTTTACTTGCTAAACTGGTCAAGCTGATCGCCCGATAGCACCCGCAGTCAAAATGTGAACCTTTACCTTTATATAAAGGCACAATGACTGCGGATCGCCAATCATCCGGGACATCCCCCGTCCGCCAGCACAAATTGCACAGCAGATGAAAGCTGTCCCAGACGCGAGGCCCACCATACTTGACCATTTCAGTAGTAACTCTGTCTAGTCCCGCAGCCTTACCACATTTCAAACTTCGAACCACATGTTCAATCTCTTTCATACTGATGACCTCAGTGTCATCGAGGTCCGGGTCACGGCGTCACCCCCGGATCCCTCGCTAAGATCATCACACGCATACATTTCTCTATAAAATTCGCTCCATCGCTGCATGACGTCCGATTTTTCTGAGAGGACGTCATTGGTTCTCGAAAGCACTTTGTTCATTCTTAAGGCCGTCGCACCACTTCGGGTCCTTCCAACCTCTTTCCAGAAGAGCTTGGAGTTCTCCTTAAAGTTGTGCGACAACCTTTCGTCCGCTTCCATTCTACACCTTTCACGCACTTCCTCAATCAATGTTTTCGTATGAACTTTCTGCAGCTTATATCTTTCTTTCATCTTCTCTCTCATATCCTTATCATTACTAGAGGCCAAGTAGTCTAACCATGCTTTCTTCTTCTTTACAGCTTCTTTCACTTCATCATTCCACCATGCATTTCTTCTTTTATACTACCTCTTTTTATCGTTCCACACACTTCTTCCGCTGCACTTACCATTCCATCCCTAAGTTTCTGCCATGTTCTTCCCACACATTCCTTTCTGCCATCGATGGTGTCAAGCTTTTCGGCTACCCTCGCATGATATTTGTCCCTGGTATCCGCTTCCTGAAGCTTCCAGCTTCGGATGCGACAGACCGACTGTGGTTCTGTCACTGCCGTCCGGTAGCGCCAACCCGCGAACAGACCCCTAAATCTAGTAATCACTAGATAGTGATCCGTTCCTAGGTCAGCACCTCTGAACACTCGCGTATCCATCACCTGTTTTCGCAGTCGGTCATCCACCAGGAACAAATTGATCATACTTCTCTCATTCTTTCTTTCTCTAGTATACATATGGATTTTCTTGTGATTAAACATAGTGTTTGTCACAAGAAGACCCTTTTCCTTGCATACAGCCAGTATAAGCTTGCCAGCATCATTAACCCTTTTATTGCCAAACTTTCCAAGCACCGACTCGTACCCTAGTCGAGCAGTATCAACCCATCCATTCAAATCACCACATACAACAATTCTTTCGTTTCCCCTAACCAAATCTAGAACTTCTCTTACATTCTCCCAAAACTCCTCCAGCTCAGCCCTGGACGACGAAGCTACCGGTTCATAAACAGCCAAAAGGAATAACTTCGTCAGTCCCAATTTAAAGCGAACCTAGAGAAGTCTTGAGTTCACAACCTTATATTCAGTCATAACATCGACCAACCGAGACGACAGCAGCACCCCCACTCCCTGGCAGGCGCTCTCGCTCTCCGGGACTCCGGACCATAGAGCTAACGTCCCGCCAGGGAGCTCTTCAGTACCACTGCCCTTCCGTTTGGTCTCCGACGTACGACATCTAATTCTCTTTCTTTCATTATTTCGATCAGCTCATTCGTCTTATCTCTCATGCCTCCTCTAACATTCCACGTGCCAACTCTAACATTCCACGTGCCAACTCTGCACTCTGTCCTCCACCTCAAAATAATATTTCAGTTCCAAAATTAAATCTTTTTATTTTCTAAAAAATTTGGAGCTTAGGAATTAAGTATGTAAATAATAAAGAAACAAAAAATCTACGCTTCTTTTAGTCCTTCTCGTCTTTTTATAATATTCTACTCATACTCAAATTCTAACTCTGAAATCTTAATAAGTAATTAATTAAAGTAAAGTATTTAATTAACACGTACATTGAAAAAAATGTTTAAATACTATGAATCTTACACTTTACAATCAGTCTCATATAATTAAAGATAATTATTTATAACTTAAATATGACACAAATTGGTAAAGAAAAATAGTATTAGGAATTTGGTCTTACTGTTTTTAAAAAATATTTGCAGGTGAATAAAATTTGTAGAAAATTCTATTGCCTTTTTTTAAAACTATATTTGGAATAGGTAGTTTCTGTATCACCTGGTCCATTGTAACATCTGCCACATTGTCTTGTTCAAATCTGAATGTATGGTCTTAATTACCACAGAGCTTTAGGATTATTACACGAATTTCGCCATCTTCTTCATCAATCTTGTCAATAATGCTCACATGTGTGAAACATTCCATGTTTCTGGCAAGCAATTTGTCGAGGATGTAATATGTGTTTAATGCTTTTACTGTAGCAGAACTTATCCCAGCTTCATTATCAGATTCCGAATCAGTGAACACATCTTACACAATTAGTTGTGGCTTATACTCATAAATTACTTTTCTGAAGCTAATAATTTCAAATGTATATATTCGTGTGGTTAATGCACAAACAAGTATCATGCTTATCAGTTTTGGGCACGATAATCCAAAAAGGTTGCAGTCTACAAAAGGCTTGATAACTCAGTTTGAAATTGCGTTGGAATTTCTTGTATAAGTCGAATAACAAATCAAGCATGTACGAAAGCAAATACATAGTCTAAAAATATATCGAACACTAAGTTGAAGAAAATGGCAGAAACTCAAAGAAAAAAGACTTGGCAAAAATAGTTTCATAAAAGATAGGTTAAAAAGTATTACTGCAATACTTTTTAACTTATGTTTGCCAACAATCAATACTTTAATTTTTAAGGACTCTAATTTCTTCGTTTATCTAATTAATTCTTAATGATTTTTCTTCTTTATTATCTATCTTTTTCAAATAATTTCAGCAACTTCAGGTGTTGACATTTGAGATGAATTAGATACAACAGAATCTAGAGTATTTTCTCTCATACACGTGTTTTAATACGTTTTTCTTATTGCGATACTTGGTGCAATGCTCTCTTTACTTCTTCTTTGCTTCCGAGTATTCTGATGGGGTCATATTTTTAACAAGTTTCCTAGTTCCATTTTCTTCTTACTCCCAACGTTCTTCCCTTTTTTAGGAGTCGTTTTTAATACGTTCATAACTCCTTCGCTTGGTTTCTCATTTTCTGTGTAAAATATCCTACTTATAGAGTTATTTCTTTCTTGGCGCCATACTTAAAACACACATGTAGCTGAAACAATGACAAAGATAATATTAAAGCCAGACCCCTGGAGGCGGAAACAGTCCCCTGTCCTATTGAGGGCAGGACTGTTGCCAGAGGACTGTTTAATTTGATTTAATTGAAAGGTAGCACAAATGTAATTGAATTATGTTATTTTGCTGTACACAGGGAATATTTATCAATTAAACAATATAAAGTTTCCAAGCTTTAAATGTAGTACATTAAGAATAAATAAAAATAATCCTTACCAGAGGACTGCCGGCTGTCAGGTTAAGACGTGAGTTCCGCGGAGTGCCGTTCGTGCAGCATTAAAATAAACTTTTCCGAACGCTAATAGCGACACCCGTGCAAACTTCAGATCGTTTGCATTTTGTTATAATACGCAGCAATACAATTGTTTAACCTTTAGATTACGTGACGCGTAATTTAAAATATAGACAGGGGAACTGTTCACAAAATGCGGAGACAAACTTTGATTTACTTTTTTAGTTTTATAAAATAATATTTATAAAAAATAAGCATGTCCCATTAACACATACACATTATTGTTTGAATAATCAAACGATTTGATTGATTCCTATAGTTATTCATCATTACAGCCCTTCACAAGTCTCCTGCTGAACATAGGTCTCCCCCAAAGAATGCCACAAAGCACGGTCCTGAGCCACCTGCATCCATCGACTTCCTGCATATCTTACCAGGTCGTCACTCCATCTAGTGGGGGGACGCCCTACACTTCGCCTGCCGGTACGAGGCTGCCACTCGAGAACCTTTCTTCCCCATCGGTTGTCGGTTCTTCGAGCTATATGGCCGGCCCATTGCCACTTCAGCTTACTAGTCCGTTGGGCTATGTCGGTCACTCTAGTTCTACTGCGGATATCCTCATTTCTGAGTTTATCACGCAGAGAAACTCCGAGCATAGCCCTCTCCATAGCTCGCTGAGCGACCTTGAGCTTCCTCATCCGGCCAGCAGTGAAGGACCACGTCTCAGTTCCGTATGTCATCACTGGCAACACGCACTGGGTGTACAGTCTCGTTTTCAAGTTTTGAGGTATACCTGACGAGAAGATGTGCCGTAATTTCCCGAACGCTGCCCAACCGAGTTGAATCCGTCGATTGACCTCTCGGTCGAAGTTGGACTTACCTAGTCGGACTATTTGTCCCAGGTAAACATACTCGTCAACAACTTCGAGCTTAGTGTTCCCAACAACTACCGGCATAGGTGTGACATGGACATTAAACATGATCTTTGTTTTGTCCATGTTCATCTTAAGACCTATCCGTTGGGAAACACTATTGAGGTCATTGAGCATAGTGCTTAGGTCCTCCAGCGATTCTGCCATAAGGACTATATCGTCGGCAAATCGAAGGTGAGTGATGTACTCGCCATTGATGTTGATACCGTATCCTTTCCAGTCCAGAAGCTTGAAAACATCTTCCAATGCAGCGGTAAAGAGTTTCGGGGATATGACGTCACCCTGTCTTACACCTCTCTGCAATTGGATAGGTTTCGTACTCTGGTTCTGTACTCGGATAGCCATCGTAGCCCTACTGTACAAGCACTTCAACACTTCGATATACCGACAGTCAACTTGGCATCGCTGAAGGGACTGCAGCACCGCCCAAATTTCGACGGAATCAAAGGCTTTCTCATAGTCCACATACGCCAGACATAGTGGCAAATTGTACTCCTCGGACTTCTGTACAATTTGCCGAAGGGTATGTATGTGGTCTATGGTGCTAAAGCCTTTTCGGAAACCGGCTTGTTCGGGAGGCTGAAAGTCGTCAAGTCTGCGCGCGAGACGATTCGTAATGACTCTCGAAAACAGCACGTAGACGCGGCTCAGAAGGGAAATCGGTCTGTAGTTCTTCAAGAGAGCGTTGTCGCCTTTCTTGAAGAACAAGACCACCGCACTTCTGCTCCACGCCTCCGGTGTAATGCCACCATGGAGGACGGAATTAAAGAGCTTCTGAAGGACTTCAAGTACCGGTTTTCCACCCGCTTTCAGAAGCTCCGCTGTAATTCCATCCTCGCCTGGGGCCTTGCCGTTTTTAAGGTGCTGGAGAGCCATTCTAATCTCGCTCAGACTGACGTCCGGGGTATTATCGGAATAATGTCGGATAAGACTCGTTCTTGGATCGTTACTCACACCTGCGTGCGGCTCCAACGATGACGTGTACAGCTGTCCATAGAACCTCTCAATCTCACTCAAAATCTCAGGTGCCCCGGAAACGATGCTGCCACATTCTGTCTTCAGCTTTGACAGTTGGCGCTTTCTGGCAGACAGATCTCTGGCAAAGACTTTGGAGCCTTGGTTCCGCTCGATCGCTTCTTCAATACGAGCTGTATTGAAGTTGCGTAAGTCCCGCCGCATGCATTTGGAGATCTGTCTGTTCAGTTGCCTGTATGCTGTTAAATCTGTTGAAGAATGTAGCTTCATCTCCCGTCTAACAGCCATGAGATTAAGAATGTGATCGGAGAGTTTTTGTGTTCTTCTGCGGCGGGTCTTGCAGAACTTAGCTCCGACCGCATGGACAGTTTCCACGAGCTTGTCATTCAAATCGTCCACTTCATTGCAGTCTTCTAGGCACTGAAAACGGTTTTGTAACTCGAGCTGAAAGGTTTCGGGACTTTGGATTAGAGCACGAGGGGGACGGAGCGTTGACTTCATTAGACGAGACCTCTCCAACTTAACGTTTAGGTTCAGTGTGCCTCTAACCATTCGGTGATCGCTGCCGGTTTTCACCCTCGCGATCACTGAGACATCACTGAACAGTTGTCGTCTGGTCATCATAATGAAGTCAATCTCATTTTTTGTCGAACCGTCGGGGCTCGACCAGGTCCACTTCCTGTGGGGCCGCTTCTGGAAGAAAGAGTTCATCATAAAGAGTCCCTCTTTCTCCATGAAGTCAGCCAATTGCTGGCCCTTTGGGTTCCGTTGCCCTATTCCAAATTTCCCTACTTTCAGCTCACCGTTCTCTCTTGTGCCTAGTTTTGCATTGAAGTCTCCCATTAACACCGTATATTGGGTTTTGGAGGAATGCATGGCTCTAGATATATCCTCATACATTTCCTCCACCTCCTGATCGGGGTGTGCCGAGGTTGGTGCGTAAACCTGTATGACCTTCAGCGAATACCGTTGGTTGTTTAAGGGTTGCGTACCTTATACTCAGAATCACCTATAGTTATTGCCTTAATTAATTTGATCTGAAGTAACTATATTGCTATGGTGACACGTCAGGGGACTGTTTTTTGAGGGCAATGAAAACGTTTTTGATACAATAAAGTTAAATTTAATAGATATTACACGCTAAGCAGAGTTAGATTAGGCTATTATCTTTTAAAGTTATCTACAAAATATATAGTAAACTGTACGTATTTATATAATATTGGCCTGAGACAACAAGTTGCCCAGTTTACAGAGAAATGCCCATACGCAAATTTTAGTGAAATTTATTTTTATCGTAATTAACTTAAAACGCATTTCCGACATCCATAAATAGTGTAAAAAGTTCAAGCTGAACCCTGAAAAGCCTAAACTGAAAACATAATTAAAATCAAGTACCGGACGTCTATAGCCAACCCAAAATTAAAAACATCTTTACAAAATATATATGACGTGTGTTCAAAAAGAAACCGAACTTGCGCTGTATCAGCTTTATTGCTTATTTTATAGCATTTTAAGCACTGTTCCCATCAAAATAGTCTGTACTGGAAATATACTGTTCAAACTCATTTTACATGCAGGTTTCTCGTCACATTTTCCTGTATCTCTATGGTATGGAAACTACGTCCTTTCAACGTGTTTTTCTGTTTGTGAAACAGGAAAAAGTCTGCTGGGGCTAGACCTGGAAAATACAGTGGATGAGAATATGGTGTTTTGCTAGATAGCTGCAGATAGACATGTGAGCGGATGCATTGTCTTGATGCAATATCCAACTCTGCTTTTCCCACTTGTTAGGCCTCTTCCTGCGCACAGCATCCTTCATGCTCACTAGGATTCCCTGTTAGACTTCCTTGTTTATCATCTGACCACATGGCACAAATTAATTCTTATTTTATTCAAAGTTTATCACTATTTCAAATGTTCCGTTCGGTTTGAACACACCTCCTATCTTACAGTTAAAACTATTTCCAAGTCAAAACTATTTTTTTTAAATATTTATTATATTTTTATCTACCTCGTCTACCACAAAAATATGAACCCAATATTTTGGTTTGCCATTTCTAAAGCTGAGACAATTTACAATAAATATATTTATTACACTTACATTAATTTTCAGATATTGACATTTGCATCCTATAGTACTGCGAGTCGCAGAAATAAAATATTTAATAATATAAATGATGCTGTAAAAGATATTGAAGATGGATCAAAACTTTTGGTTGGTGGATTCGGACTTTGTGGAATTCCAGAAAATCTTATTCAAGCTATTAATAAACGGAATGTAAAGAATTTAACTGTTGTTTCTAATAATGCAGGTATATATAATAATAATTGAAGAAATACAGAAAGTAACATTTGATTTGTATATTTTATTTCTTTATTTTAGGTGTGGAAGATTTTGGCCTAGGTATATTGTTGAAAAATAAACAGATTAAGAGAATGATTGCATCATATGTAGGAGAAAATGCTGAATTTGAAAGACAGTTTTTGAGTGGAGAATTAGAGGTAAACTTGATCTAATTTGGTAAATATATGATTAAATACTAAGAATATTGAAGGCTAGGTTTACAAAAGTTAAATATCTATATTTGTCAATACAATCAATTTCTTTTGGAGCTCCATAAACAGCAATAATTGTATATTTAATATTTTATAATAATTTATTTATTTGTAATTCTCAGAATTGTATATTTTATACATTATAAGAGACACAAATAAGCACTTTTATTTATATTTAATGCCTGACTATGTATACATGTGGCATTTGTGTGCATATCATTTCAACTTGTTAGATTTGCGATATCTTAGGAATGGTAATTTTTAGGAAAAAAGTATTAGTACCATTTTTGTATACTTTTTTTATAAGCCTGTAAACAGTTAACTGCTGGATATATATTACATGGGGTACATACAAGACTGTTATACACCTATATCACAGATATATAATCAATAAGATAAGAAGATAATATCTTCTACACATTTGCCATAGTCCGCTGTTACAAGATCAGCTGGATAAAGTGAGGTGATGGTCTTTCCTGATCCATGCCAATCGTGTGAAAAGCATTTGCACAGTTGCCTATACATATTATGATTTTTTTCCCCCAAACATCTGATAAAAACTTAAAAAACAATGATAAGCTATTGTGATGAAATTAAAATTAATTACTTTCTTAATAAGTAAATATTTGCTGTTTTAAAGGTGGAACTTACTCCTCAAGGGACATTAGCAGAAAAAATTCGTGCTGGTGGGGCTGGTATCCCAGCATTTTTTACACCTACAGGCTATGGTACATTAATACATGAAGGTGGTTCACCAATTAAGTACACTAAAGATGGCAAAGTAAGTATCAACATGCTTAACAGAATTATTCAAACAAAGTTTCAAGCAGAAAGTGATATTAAAAGGAAAATCTGGAATATGAATTAGGTTGGTAGTCTTATTTCATAGTAATATTATGAAATAGGAATACCCTTAAATTTTGTACAGTTGCTCAGAAGATATTCAGAAAACCTGCATGAGTACAAACTATCAATAGTAAATATGGTCAGCTTGCCATCTCTTTAGTTAATTTATTCATATCAAAACTAATTTTGTTAAGAACTTAATCAGATGTTAATATATCATTATGCATCAAAAGAAACCAGGCAGCCAGATATGCAAGGCGAAAGTTAATCAGGAAGGTGCACAGACATCCTCTTAAAATTAATAGCATCCAACTCTAGAGATCTTGACATGTGGATATGTTTTACCCTTGTATGAATTTTTTAAATAATCTGAACAAAATATATATAATAGATTTGGGGGTACAAAACGCAGAAGAAATAATAAAACAAATATTTTAAAAATTTCAATATATCTATTTCTAATAAAAGTTCAAGTATAATTGTTGATACTCCATGCATTTAGCTGAAAAAAATTGTTAGTTTTATTTTTATGAAATGAATAGAAACAATTATTGTCTCTGTTGTCACACAAAGACACTACATTTTGAACACATGTCAACTTCCGACAATTATTATACATATTTACACTTATTTCTCTCATTACAATATTCTCTCTCATGCCCTACATTGTCCACGACGGACGGACGTCTCTTGTTGGCATTGCTTGTTAATGCGCTCGAGTTGTCCTTGCTTTCTTGATCGTTACTTCTTCTAAGCGAATAGAACCTCGCCGGCCACGTTTGATATCATGATTGTAAGTTTGGTACTTACATAGAGATTCTGCTAGATCTGTTCTAGTCAGCTAAATTCATTATCTGATTCTCTCCGTTTTTAGTCAGTACTTTTTTATAGAGCACCCAAGCGTTGATGATCGTCATGTCGTCCATTTGCGAGACTTCATTCTGATGCGGTACTGACCTAAGTAGCTGTCCGTTAGGTCGACGCCGCCCACATGAGTATTGTACTCTTTCACGACTCTAAGGCAAGGAATTTCAGTAGTAGCTTTTTGCTTTTTGTCAAACCGTTTGATAGATTCTACTGCTTCTGCTCCGAACACGTCGAAAGCGCTAAAACCTGCATATTGCATACTTGTTGGATTCATTTACAATTTGTTCCAGCAAATCATCTTCAAAGAAGTAAGAAAAAAATTGGTAAGCGGTGGTAAGTTCCATAATATTCTGTGGATGCATTTAGGGGTACATAATATTTCCTTTGAATGTTAATAATTCTTCAACAAGGTTTAAATTTTTCCGTTTTCATACTAGATTACGAGTGGTTATATTTCCAGTAACACTTACTGAAGAAGTCGGTAGGAGCAGTAGCGGTTCAACCTCCTCATTTGAAACTAGAGGGATGATTTTTCATCGTCAAATATTATTGGCGGATCACTATCTACTTCTTCAGGATTTCTGAACCGTCTTTTAAATCAGCTAAAATGTAATTACAATTAGTATATAATATCCAATTTTGTCTTCATCTTTCTCTAAATAGTCATCACAGTTCTCGACTTTTCAGTTGACGCAAATATGCCTCGATGTCACGTTCTGCTTATCGCTTTAGCCATAATTTGTAAATAAAGGCATCAAGCAGTTCAAGAAATTAACCAAGACCAAGAATATGTGATATTTTATGCAATTAGAAGCCAAAAACAAACATAATACAACATTCAAATAAATAAGGAATTCTTGAATTTTTTTGGCGTGCAATGCATGAAGTATCAATTTTGATACCTCACAAAAATAGCAAATTAAAGTATGAAAGCCTACAAAGAAGGTGAATACGCGTACTCAATAATATGAATTGCATACTTACGATGTTCAGAAGAATTTTAGTTGAATGAAAAGTCTCTAAAATAGAAGGTCACAACAAAAATAAAATTAGGCGGGAGTACCTGTACTGCGAACGCCCACTAACTTATGAAAATGACAGAAAACCCACACTACTATATGATTTCGAATTTTCACTCTTTTTTCATTTAGAAATTAATCAATGTACATAATTATTTTAAAAACAAACTAGCCTTACTTTAAATTTGAGACCATAACCTAACTTAAGCTTTAGGGTTGAATTTGTATTTTACCACAGAATAAATAATAGTACAAAAAAAAAAACAGAAGGATCACTCTCTGATAGCAAACTTGCGAGTTTAAACTTAGTTATAACGTTGCTAATGTTCATAATATTTTCCACACCTCGGAAGTGACCTACGCGGCGCGCGTATTAAATCAAAATGCACCTTACGTCCGCGTGCGAGTGTCTGTATCACTTAGCCCGTTACGAGCTTTTGTTAAGACCGATTCTACTGTACGTTTAGGTGTTGTGAGAAAACAAATTAAATCCTTTGAAATTGGTATATAGTAGAATACACCGAGGCGTTATGCAATGTATGAGTATTTATTTTATTTATTTTTATTTTGTTACAAAAGTTACCCCCACACTAGGATTTTCTCCTGTATCGTGGAGGCAGTTAACAAACACAAATTGCACAAGGACAAACTTCTAGACCCGGAACAATTATATGTAGGCCATATAAATACTTGTTCCGTGCGGGATTCGAACCCGCGGCCCCAGCGTTGCAACTCATTGCTAAGCCACTGCGCCACGGAGCCATCAATTTGCTGATAATAAAAACTTTATTGTTCAGTGTGCGGAAGGTTAATATGCAACATCGAGGAAAATTAAGATTATGAAAACGTGAACGTCTTTGAAACTCAGATAATTTATCTACTTACCATTTTTAACCGACTTTAAAAAGGAGGAGGTACTCAATTCGACTGTATTTTTTATGTGTGTTACCTCAGAACTCTTTTCTAGATGAATCGATTTTGATGATTCTATTTTTATTTGAAGGCTGGTGCTTATAATTTATACATCCCACATAAATTTTATCAAGATCTGACCAGTAGTTTTGGAAGTATCCTTAATAATGCGCGTATTAATATTGATGTCGGTTGTACAAAATTTTTATTTTCATTAGCTGTCTCTGTTCCTCTCTTTTTTAAAAATATTACTTGCACACTAGGATTTTTTCCTGTATCGCAGGGACACTTTACATACATAGAATATAAATACTTGTATTCCATCCGGGATTCGAACCCCCGGCCCTTAGCGCTACAACTCATTACTAAGCCACTGCACCACGGAGCCGTCATTTGTCTGTTTCACATTTTTTGCTATTTATAAACATGCGACACGCGACTTCATTATTAATGAGAGTGGCAATGAGAAGTGCTGCTACTTTCAATCTTTTTCTTTTATCGACCAAGTGTTAAGCATTAACCAGTACATGCTGATCTTGCATTAGTAGGCAGTCACTGGTACTGGGAGGTCTACTTACACTGAACCTTTTTTTGGTAATTGGCATTATACGCGAAATAATCGAAAACTGCAAAGTCACTAATCAAATAATAAATCTGTAACTATGGCGTCAGTAACTAAGTATCTAATTATCTAGATCTACCTATAAATAATAATATATTACCTTTCGGTATCCTAAGGAACAGTAAAAAATGAAAAGTCGACATTCCTATTGTTATTTAAGCACCCATATCCTATGCAGTACCTTTTGGTTTTTGAGAGGCCATACTTGAATAAAAACTCAAAAATAAATATTAAAAGTGCCTAAATACTTATTGGAGAAAAATAATTTTTATGTTAACTTAAGGCGCGCGTTAGCTAAAGCGCGCGCGTGCGAACCTCACGGAATTAGCCTCATTTAGACGGCCGCGCAGCGTAGGTATATTTTCACGCTTAAAGCACGGAGTGAGACAGGCCTGATTTTACAATAAATCCCTATTGGAAAGATAAACTGTCCTTGTCCTATAAAAAAAATGTAATTTAAGTGGTAACTGTATTGATGGGTCATATGCCTATTGTATTAAATTGTATTGTGTATTAATCGTGATTATATTGTATCAAAAATTATCAGTAAAGATTGTATTAACAACAAATCTATTAAAGAGACAGAACATTTATATTAACATCTACAACAATTAACGGGGGCGGATGCCACCCACATATAGGCTTACCTTCTCAGCTCCCAGCCTGAGCCGCTACGGCTCGCACAGGTGCCTGCGATTCGCTACGCAAGGGCGAAGGAGCTGCACTTACCGCAGCGCCGAAGCCGTTGTAGAAGTAACTTTGGATCAATCTTCCTGTGTAAAAAGCGAGGTTTAGTCAATTTATCATGAAAAACTGCCTTAAAAATCTAAAACTTCAAACGATAACGGTATTTGCGACAAAAATCCCTTTGGGATTTTTCAATTATTTTCGTTAAACATGTAAAAAAATTCCAAATCGGTGTCCCTAGAACGGAACTATATCCATATTATTTTACAATATATATAGGTATGGTAACAATACATAAAAATAAATTAAAATGAATGCATTAGAATAATTTATATCTAGCAAAGAAAACATTAGGAAACTAATCTAAATCAATAGTTATCTATTAAGGCAATATACTTTTCAGATTGATATTCCTAGTTACCCGCGATTGGTGCAAAATTTTAATGGTAAAGACTTTATTATGGAGGAGGCAATAACCGGAGATTTTGCTTTAGTTAAAGCGTGGAAAGCAGACAAATATGGAAATCTAATATTTAGAAAAAGTGCCCGTAACTTTAATCCAGCAATGTGTAGAGCGGCTAAAGTTACAATTGCTGAAGTAGAAGAAATTGTTGATGAGATTAATCCTGATTTTGTGCATATACCATCTATTTATGTGCATAGGGTTATCAAAGGTGATAAATATGAGAAACGTATTGAAAGAAGAACAGTAACTAAACAAATTGTACACAAAGAGAAGAAATCATCGGACATAATGAGAGAAAAAATAATAAGAAGAGCTGCTTTAGAGTTTAAAGATGGAATGCATGCTAATCTTGGAATTGGTGAGTTTGTTAATATTAAGGATATGACATTATGCATAATTGATTCCATTTTTTTTTTGGCTTTTGTTAATATTTATATTTTTGTGACAGGAATGCCCATGCTTGCCAGCAATTATATTCCAAAAAATGTAAAAGTTTTTTTGCAATCAGAAAATGGTATTCTTGGTCTTGGTCCCTTCCCAACAGAAGAAGAAGTTGATGCTGACCTTATTAATGCAGGCAAGGAAACTGTTACAGTCCTTCCTGGTGAGTATTCGAATTTGCTTTGATACCTTAGTTATTCTTGAAATATTATTTATTTATACTTCACGATTATTACATTTATTTTCGAATTTCAAATATTTTTGTGTAAAATGTTAGGTATAGAAATATTATTTCTTTTTTAATTGATTATATGATCTATACAATAAATAAAATTGAAGTGTATGTTTGTAATGTCAAAATATCAGCTCTTTACTAAATGGATATGAAATGTACTTATAAAAATAAAAAATATTTTTTAATTTTTTGTCTGTCTGTCTGTTAATTCGGGCTAATCTCCGAATCGGCTGTACAGATTTTGACGGTACTTTCACTGGCAGATAGCTGATGTAATAAGGAGTAACTTAGGCTACTTTTATTTTAGAAAAAGAATTAGGGTATCACACAAAAAAAATTAAACCCATTAAATCCAATCGTTATAAATTCGCAGGGAACAACTAATACAAGATATTAGCTGTCTTTTTGCATTGTTTATGATTATTTTTTATTTTACTCTTTCATTTTACACTTATCAGCTGTACAATAGTATAAGTTTTTGTATGCAGATCTGCTAACATAATGGCTCTGAAATTGGTATCATTTAATTGTTTCGTTTGCTTGGGCCCCTTTTGAGTATAGAGAATTTCCACAATCCCTACGTTTGGTAGGTAGTTTGGCACTTGTAGTAGTAAAAGCAGAAAATACTTAATAGTACAAGGCACAGAAGGATAACTCCGAAATAACAATTGAATAAAAGCGACTCTTGCTAAGACGCAATAAAGTGCAATTCAGCTCGATCAGCGCTGAGCGTCTTCTAATTATATTCATCTGTTAGGTGTCTTTATAACGCGTAACACTTCTTCTGAATCGGCACGTGTAACTATAGGGTTGTCTTCTTATAATAAATAATTCTTACGAAGTGAAAAAGAAACTATAACCAAAGCGATAAGGGCGCATAAGTAGCGAGCTTACCTCTATTCCGAAGGTCGAGCGTTAACCCACTGAGTGGACCTGTCGGTAACTACTTGTAGTTTTGTACCTAAACTCGTACCTAGTGTAGTAACAGTAGATGGTAAGCCTAGGTGTTATTACACACAACTGCACTTGGAGGATCATGCTAGTTGATGAATAAGTCTGATGATCGACTGATATTGGAAAATTGATTCAAATCGTATAGCTTATGTGCACCCTAACTCGCAATTCCAATAGTTGAAAATAAAAGAAAAATTAAGTAACGTGTGCCAGTTGAATTGTTCTTGAAATTAATCTACATGGTAGGGTAGAGCTATGCTGCAGCTATGTTACTGATATAGTTGTAGCACGAATGGGTCGGCTCGACCGGGGAATGACCACGCTCTCACAGAATACCATCGTAAAATAGCAGCTTAATGCTGCTGTGTTTCGTATGGTGAGTGTGGAGAACCGGAAACCCTTTTTACTGGAAACGACGCATTCCATCCTAGTCCTCATGGTTGACAACGCATCTGCATTTTGATTCGTAATCGAGGATAGATATAGATATCTATGGGCCACAGCAACCACTTACCATCAGGTGGACTATGTGCTCGTTTGTCACCCTTATTATAAAAAAATAAAGGCTAGTGGGGAATCGATTGAAATCGTATAGGTAATGTGCTCCTGAATTCGCTTTTTCTACAGTCGATAATGTATAAAAATTAAAAAGCTATTATTAGCACATAAGAAGAATACACAGGTAAATAAAAATAATTTGTTACAGGTGCATCGTTCTTTTCATCAGACGACAGTTTCGCGATGATACGTGGGGGACATATTGATCTTACCATACTTGGTGCAATGCAAGTATCACAATATGGTGACTTGGCGAATTGGATGATTCCTGTGAGGATTATTATCTTAATAGATATATTATCTAATATTTATTTTGGTTTAGGTTACTATATTTATTACATACTAGCGATCTGTCCCGGCTTTGCACGGGTGATATTTGGATTCTACTACAGCGCCACCTACCGTGTCCAATTATGCCTATAACCTTTGCGGAAGTGCAAGCAATAAGTTGACAAAGTTTTACGGAAATCTGATGAAGGGTATGGCAGCGCACAAAATACGAACAAACAAATATTAGTTTTTATATATTAGATAGTACATTACAATAAATTTCGCTTTTGTTTTAGAGGGAATCTCTAGTTAGTAACCAAATTATTTTAAAAGAATTTCATATTATTTTAATACGCTGCAAACCCAGTTAAATGTTTGTTATTATCGTATCTAAAATGCTAATGTGTTTAATATGTTAATGTATTGATATAAATAATGTCAAGTACCTACGTTAAATGTCAAGGTTGTTTTGCTGTTGACTTGTAGAATATCGGTGTTTGTTATTAATTTTAACATTTTAATGTGAGTAGTACAGTAATATGAGTTTATACATATTTTTTAATTTTAATAAATACGGTGACTATGTTTTGCGTATGTCAGTACAGTCCCTTCAGCGGTGCCAAGTTGACAGTCAGTATATCGAGGTGCTGAGTGCTTTTCTAGTAAACTCTACGACGTCTTACCAATTAGGTACATGTCCAAAATCTTCACTACTGCATTGGAAGAATTTTCAAGCTACTGGACTGGAAAGGGTATTAAAATCTGGGGAATACATCACTCACCTTTGATTTGCCGACGATATTCTCATTATGGCGAAATTCCTGGAGGGCCTAAGCACTATACTCAAAAACCTCAGCGGTGTTTTCTGTCTTGAGATGAACATAGGTTATACAAAAATCATGTCTAATGTCAAGTTACACCTATCGGTAGTTGGTTACACTACACTCGAAGTGGTTGACGACATGTAACCAGGATGATTTGTTCTAAGTTGAAACAGGTAAATCTACTTTGACCAAGAGGCCAATCAAGGGCTAACTTAGCTAAGCAGCGTTCGTGCGATTATGCCACATCTTTTTGTCACGTAGTCTTTAAACCCTGAAAACAACAGTACGGTTGCTAGCGTGCCGATTTGGTAAGTCCGACTGCGACTTAAGGTCATCTGATAAATCCGACTCGGTTGGGCTGCGTTCGGGAAACTGAGACAAACCTTCCTGTCCGATATTCTCCAGAATCCGATATTCTCTAGAATCTTAAGACGAAAGTGTAAAACCAGTGCCTAATGGCAGTCATGACTTACGAAACCTAATTGTGTAGAACTGCATGCCGTATGAGAAAGCTCGATGTCGATGTATGCAAGTAGCTCAACACCGTATTTTCTGGTAATCTATAGGGGAGGCCTATGTTCAACAAGTGGGCTGTAGTGAGTGAGGAATAACAGAATAGAAAAAAATCTCTTAATAAATTAAAAATATAACACTAGCTTTATTAGATAGAAGACCTGTTTATCATCTACGATTCGAGTTGGAATATAAACGCTGAAGTTTTTGTTTTAGATAGGAATACACCATTCCAGAGAATTGTTACTGGAATGGTGTGGCCACCTTTATTTGGTTTTAAATAATAAAGTGATCTGCCCAATCCTAATAGCTTCATATGCCATTATTTTGCTCTTTAAGTAGAAATGACAAACGAGCACACAGTCCACTTCATGGTAAGTGACTTCTGAAGCCTTTAGGCACCTAGTTATATCTTATCCTCGATTAAGTATCAAATCGCAGATCTGTTGTCACGTTGTTGTAAAATGGGTCTCCGTTTTTCGCCCCTTTCCCTCACGTTATGAAACACCTTACATAATGCAGATATTTTACGTAGGTATTCAGTGCGAGTCGAGCCGACACATTTAAGCTTGTTACCATTTTTTATATAATATTATCCTTTTAATAAGTGTCAGTTTAACTTATTAATTTTGCAATAAAATAAAGTCGAGAACAATTTATGTGTATTTTGGTTTCAGGGAAAAATGGTAAAAGGAATGGGTGGTGCAATGGACTTAGTTTCAGCACCAAGGACAAAGGTCGTGGTTACTATGGAGCACACCGCTAAAAATGGCGCTCACAAAATCCTTCCAGAGTGTTCGTTGCCTCTGACGGGCAAAAATTGCGTTGACATGATTATTACGGAAAAGGTACTTAAAATACTAATAAGTTGAAAAATTTCGTCTGTCATCTTACAATGGTAAAATATCGACAATAAACCAACCGACATTTTTTTTATAGAATAAGGGTGACAAACGAGCACAGTCCACCTGATGGTAAGTGGTTGCCTTGGCCCATAGACATCTATCTTCGTTTCCGAATTAAAATGCAGATGCGTTGTCAGCCGTGAGGACTAAGATAGAATACCTCTTTTCCAGTAAAAAGGGGTCTCCGATTCTCTAAAAACATGATTGACGATGAATATGACTAGTTTATATCGTCGAATGTTGGGTCTAAAAAAGCAACTGCTTGCATATTTCTTGATTACGGGCATAGAATAGAATATAATATGTGGTGGCTATTTATTTTATTATGTTCCGTCAAGGCTGTTTGTTATCATTTCAATTCATGTAATTAGTTTAATTAACAATAATTTTAGATTTTTTAAATTTATCAATGAATGGTAATGCACGAGTAATTGACAAAATGTGCGCCATAACAAATATATAATGCCTATTTTACTTTTGTACTATTCTCTCTTAAGATGGAGGCTTTTTTCGTTAAGATTTTTGGCTTGGATGCTTGTCCTTTAAGCTATGTCTTCAATACATTCGGAATCTTCGTTTTTATAGATTGTCAGTATCAAGTGATAATAATCCTTTATAGTACACTGAAAATGAAAATGAAAATGTTTGAAAATAAAAACAAAATATGTTGATGCGTCACATTGCGTACTTTTTGGGAGATTTTAACAGTAACTTGAGTCAGCAGACGGTTGGCGATAGTATCTCAAGGTGCCTAAGCAGACAGACACCTTGAGATTCACATCACCATCGGAGCGTTTGTTTCATCGTTTCCACTAATAAGTTCATATGCGCAGACATTTAATGCACAAAATCCACAACACGTTTAGTTATCAAAATCCACTTCAAACCATTATTAAAACAATAATTCAGCCAGTTAAGTTCCCGCCAAAACCCTTGCGCTTGTTCCCTACGTGTCAGCTACTAATCTGTGGCACAGATTAGATAATAGTCTGTGGTGGAAAAAAATATTAGTTCCTTGCTATGCACACTCACGATGTTCGGATGTTGAAACAGATCTGATGTTACCCATATTTTTTCAGTGCGTTTTTGAAGTTGACAAAGAGAAAGGACTTATTCTAACCGAACTAGCGGATGGTGTAACAGTGGAGGACGTTTTAGTAAGCACAGGATGCGAGTTTACAGTTGCTCCTAAGCTAAAGAAAATGGGCGATGTTACAGAACTTGACGAAATGAAACAATAAGGAATAAGGAAGAAGGGAAATTATTTTAAACAGGAATAACACTAGTCTAAATATTTTTATACTATAAGAGTTATCACATTATATTACAATCGTATTTTTTGATTGATTTTTAAACTTTTACAAATGTTTATTCGTATATCTGTTATATTATTATTGATTTTTAATTTTTTAATCTGTTAACAAATAAGTGAAATAAATCGATCTGGACCGTTATATTTGTATATTTTTGAGAACTTTTAAACCTTTAGGCTCTGCCAATAAATGTTTGTATCATGTGCTACAGATTGAGATAGTAATAGCAATTATCACTGTTTTATTTTTCACCGATTTGCTCATATTTTCTTCATATTTTTCTTTCCTTCCTTATTTAGTAAATTTAGTAAATTAGTACCTACTAGTGCCGAGTATCTGTTAGTTCACATGTTATCTTTGTCTCTTATATCTTTTAGCTTCTCTTATTCTGTCTCTTTATTCTTAGAGTATACTCATATATTATATAATGCTCATTAAAAGTCCACTGCTAAACGGAGGTCTTCCTCGTAGATTACCTAGTAGGGGGCATTCATCATAGTTGTCAAGTTATTATTTTGGGTTATCAGAAAAATGCTACTGTTTATCTCCCTATTTCTATTTCCTCTGATACCATCATTTAGAACACTAACAGGGTTATATGGGGTACTGGATTCTCTTACGACGTGGCGAATGTGACAACATTTATAATAACTCATTTTGTGTAAAATAGAAACAGTGAATTTCAGTGGACAAAATAGGAAAGCATCATTTGAGTCGGTAAATTATGACATCATATCTTGACAAAAAATAGAAGCTAAATTTAAATTTGGCAACAAGTGGCTTTCTATGGGAGAGGCTCATATCCATATGTGGGACCTTTACTTTTTGGATTGACTAGCATTGATCAGTTTCCGAAATCATTGTTGCAAAAGCATTCCTTGCTCCATATATTTTTTAATTTTTTATAGTTTAAGCGTAGAGAGGTAGAGTAGGTGATTTCACTTGCCATAAACTCAGTATACTGCAGGAGAACAACGAGCCTTTTGATGTGTAACAGAATGTTTGTGTTAAATACACATTTATTTTCTTTTAAATGTAAAACAATAGGTACACATTTAGTAATGAGATTTCTTCTCCTAACGGCGCCATTTAGGAATGAGATGAAATATTTGACAGATTTCGGGGCAAGTTAATTTGTTGGAAAAGTATAGAGATTAATATTACTTTTTGAAATATTAGCTATATAGATTAGAAATGGATAAACCCGAGTATTTTTAGGCAAGCTATACTCTAAGGATAAACCAAACTACAGATATTTCTAAAAGTGGAAGAATTAAAAAAGTTAAAAATGTGTTAAAAAATTAAAGAATAAGGCATTGTTTTGTATATATAATACACACACACTAGAAACCGAAAAATCCATAACTACCTAAATAGCAACTTTTCAATGATAATTACGCTGTGTGACATCTGTCCATCAAATAAATTCACCTTAGTCTCAACTAGCGACATCTGATGAGCGTAAGATTTTTAGACGTCTTCATTGACGTCCCCTTCAGGCCTCCAACCCACGCGAGTCTGCTGTTGATATTTGATACTGCAAAGTGGTTTTCCCGATTCTTCACATTTATACACTTGTTAATTTCAGATTTGGTCATTATTAACTTAATAAATACAAGCAGGCGTTACTTTGCGGAAACCCATTATAATATTAAAGTTTAAAAAAAATAATTTGCTTAGATCCGCGAAAATAAACTTTTTAAATTATTACTAATGGTTAGGTTTGGTTAGGTTAGTTTGTAGCAAATTGCCCAACAATTACGTAGCAATATTCATAATGAAGTTTAATTCGGTATTAATTACATAGCCCGATTTGGCTTGTCATTATTCATATTTCCCGGGCATTATAAATATATATGTATAGAGCAGAACAGTATCCACGGGTGAGAACATCGCATCGTTCCGTCCCAGCGTCGAGTCAGTCCGTAAGCGCCCGTTACGAATTCTTGGCGAATACTTCATTATAACTATGAAAGGATTAAATGTGCAACAAAACTTTGTAAACTATACTCGAAAACATACTATACAGAAATATAGCAGCACTGTGATACCATATTTTTTAAACTATATAAATAAAAATTTGCGGGATTATAGGAAACGTGGAACGCAAGACTACATTTCAGTACACGAGCATCATATTAGTCTATGGTACACGTAGACTCGGGCCCGCACCGCAACCAAGCTTCAATTGAAGTATAAAAAAGTAAGTAATGTGACGCGTTTGGCGCCGGAGTCGATATTTTAAATATTATTGATTATCTTAAGTACAGCAAGCAATAGTTGAAGTTAATACACCGGCGCACTGCATTTACTATTTTAAAGGTCTAGTAAAAATAATTGTCTGTATTCATGATTTAGATTAAGTGTATGTACTCATTGTTTTATTTTTTTGTATTTGCATTTGAATGTGAAACTAGATAATCAAGTACTTCAAAATCCAAAATAAATTAATTCAATCAAATATGGAAGTTACATATATTTTTATTATATTTATTCTGGGTATTATTTATTTTATTTGTATTATATTTATGCTGGGGAATCCATAGCTCTGTTAAAGTTTCCAAAAGTATGATGAAATCTTCTTCCAATTGAGGTAACAAAGGTGATTCCCGAGCGCGTGTCATCGACGTCCATTTTCATTGAAGCACACAGGGAGACTGCTACGATACTGCGCTTACACGTTCAATCTAGATCACGATGAGCGGATCGCGATCTTGATTTCGAAATATATATAATTATGCATCAATTCATGAATCTACTTCGTACATTATCAACCTGGATAGTGATCATTGATTTTGATCACAGATCTCGATCGAGATTGAGTGTGTACGGGCTGCGTTTAAATTACTGAATACTGACTACGAGTAGTTCACGCCATACCCCGCGGCACCTCGATCTCCAACAACTACCTTTAAACGACTAGTTGCGAGTTGGCGTGGCGCGACGCGACTTATTATATCACGCGCGCCATGAGAAGCCATAACTATATACGCAAAAAGTATACTGGGTGGCGATTAGGTTATCACATTAAATAACACAGCGGTTTATACAAGTTCATATATGTCGATTAAAACAATAAAATAAACAATTCTACCAAAAATAAAAAATGCGTCTTTCAAACAAAATAAATAGCGTAAAAATTGACACGAAAAAAAATCACCTTGATAATATTAGTTTACTGACCAGAAGGGACATGTAAACGCGGCAACGGTGCGGGAGGTGCGCAGTGCTCACGCGGCATCGTCATAGGTAATTATTTACCTACACTTTCCCGTTCATAAGAAATCAGGCAAAAAACGAAAAAAAGGGCTTTTGCGACTAGAATGTTAATTGTTATATATTTTTTAGTTGTGTATGTTCAAAGAACGTTATATAAGATAAGTCTTTTCATTTAATGTGATAACTTTGTCGCCACCCCGTATATTCACTATGTTATTATATTTACGATTTAATGAGTATATAATCGCTATGTATTTATATGATTTATATTTGGAATGGAATAATGACAGCGTCAAACGGAATCATATTTGCAAACATTAGCATTGTTAGAATCAGTTACATACAATATTTTTTGTTAATATTTTATTCGTTGAACTTATGAATATCTGTCTCTTTTCTGAAAATGACGATCACGTATCAAAACCATCCTTTTGTTTTATGGGCTGCTTGCTTTTTATGGCTTATTTCTATGTTTGCCATAACATGGTCGCTACTTTTATTCTTCTGTGAGTATCTCTTATTGTTTGTTCGTAATATAAAATAATATAAAATATACTTAGTGTAATTAATTTAATATGATATGATTTCAGTTGTCGGTGATATACTGCTATTGACTGGAACTGATTTAGTTAATGCATTTCTACTACTCTCTGGCATAATAATGCTGCCTACAAATGTTCATATTCTATATTCTATTGCTAAAGGAATACGGATCGAGTATGACTCTAATTGATTTTTTATTTTTAGATTGTCTTAGCTAATAATAATTTACTTTTTAATTAAGCTTTTGCATATAGGTATCCTAAAACTTACTAGTAAACATAAGAGTGCATTGATATCTATCTGTGACACATCGGAAGTTACCTTTTCGACGCAGAATATGAAACTAATATACGTGAGCAACATACGCTTTAACCGTGATTTTGACAACATAAAATTCTTAATTTGAATATTAAGTGTTGCCCTACAATGAACATGTCTTACTCGGCCGACCAACAGTGCCGGAGTGGAAATCAGGTCTCTGGTACGGAATTTTACTAATTCGTGTATGCTCAGATTAAAAAAACAAAAGGCAGATGGAGCGCGGTAGAACATGCGAGTGCGGAAAGCAAAGCAAATTCAAATTCAAAAGCAAATACATACTCGCGTTGTACGAAAGGAAGCGTCAAATCATTAACACGTGACAAACTTGATTTAATTATGTCGTCTTAGGTATTTTAGTTAATAACCGTTTTTAATGAAACTAGCAACTGCAGAACTAGATAAGTAACCAATTTTGATAAATCTTTCAGTAACATGATCAGATTAACTTCCAATCAAAAGTTATATTAAAATTCGTTCATTAGTAGCTCAGATATACTTAGATTACGTCCAAATTGCTGAATCCGTTTTGATAATACTTGCACCGTGACCTATTCCTGATAATACAATTGTACGTAAGAGATCTGTAATAATATAAATAAACACTCATTTACAAAAAAAAAGGGGCAGTCGTGATATTTGTCCTGTCTGAAAAAAAAACAATACAAAGTACCGTTGTGTTTAAAAAAGTACGTTCCTAATTCAAACTTTTGCATGAGGCTGGGTTTTGTGGTGCGAACTCCCAAAAGTTTATATATAACTTTGTCCATTTTTATTGAATTTTCTCATTTTATTGACAACAAGCATTATTTTTGCTGTTTAGCGGTCTCGAAAATGGTAGATAAACTGATGAAAATAAGCAAATTTATTACTCTGAACATTGGCTAAATGTAAGCGTTCGACAGTCTAAAGGACCTGGCAGTGCTATCAAGAGACCGTTTCCGTCGTATGATCGTTTTCTGGTGAATCAAGCATTGAGAAATCGCAAATCTTCGGTATGTGAACCTTAAGAACAACCTTAAAGAAGTAAGAAATGTGTAAATTAGTCTATGAAAGGTCAGGAGAAGGCTTCTCGCTGCCAATATACGCAGTCATCGCCCAGCCCGCGGCCCTAAATTACTCCGTGAGCATCGAGTTGCTAAATTGCATCGCTTAAAATTGTGTGTCATGGACATAAGAAGACTGGGATAGGGTAATGTTTTCCGATGTTGCCGGGATATCCCCGTACGGTAAAGACCGACGTCGGCGAGTGCTACAAAGAAAGGAAGAGTGCTTTGCAGAGGCGTGTTTTAAAGAAAGCACACCTTATGGTGGAGGCTCTGTTATGTTTTGGGCAGTAATAAATTTGATGGATCGTTCAATAGTTAGTCTTCATCGAATACGGCACACTGACTACTAAAGAATGTTATTACCGCGAAGTGGGAACGTATTTCGCAAGAAACCATAGAAATACATTCGCTAGCATGTCCAGACATAGAACCCATTACGTAATAATTCTATGTGTCCAGACGAATGTAAGCTGCGATTTCAGCAAGAGGGCTCCACACTAAACTTTAATTTGCTTTTACCTTATCAAAGAAAAAGGCAAATAAAAAAGGTGTTTTATTTTTACTTAGCGAGCACTGACGAAAACTATTCCCTGCTAATTAATTTACAAAATTCTGAGTATAAGATTAACTAAAATTTTCAAACAATCAAAAAAAAAATAATTCAAAATGTATAATTACTAAGTAACAATAAAATTGGATCTTTGCTTAGATCCCCGTTTTGTTTGCAATAGAGTTTATAATATTTACCTATGAAATTGCCGTTTTTTATGAAATAAGTTAATGTAAATTTTCTCCTACATTTTTTATTTCTATTAATCAAAGTAATCACCCATACAAACGATGCATCTTTGGCAACGCAGTGACAGTTTATGATGCCCTTCTTGAAGAAATCTGCTTGAAGGGAGGCAACAAATTCTTCAAAGGCTTTGTACTACCTCTCGGGTATTGAATTGTTTTCCCGCCAAAAAGTTATCCAAATTCTGCAAAAAGTAGAATCTGTAGGCGCAAGGTCTGGTGAGTACGGCGGATGACGGATAGCTTCTTACCCCAGCTCTTGTATCTTGGAGACCGTCTGTTTTAGTGTGAGGTCGCGCGTTGACGCGCAGGAGCAGCGGGGAGGAGCGATTGACCAAAGCTGGTTAGAGATGTGCGAACTTCTTCATCATTGTGTTCAGTTCTTCACAGTACATATCTGCAGTAATGCTCATCCCGTTTGGTAAGAAGCTGTGATGAATCACACCGGCGCTAGACCACCAAACAGTGACCACCATTTTTCTAGGGGTAAGTTTTCGTTTGGGGCATTGCTTAGGTGCTGAACCAGGTTCTAACCAACTTACTGAGCGCTTGAGATTGTCAAATAGAACCCATTTTTCACATTTGAGCAGATCATTGAGTTCGTGGGGCACCCATTTGTCAAGCTTTTTACCTTGCCAATTTGACGTAAATGGACCAATTGTTATGATATTAACATCGAAATTTGCTGCTAATTCAGCCGTAGATTGAGTATCAACAGCTTCCACAATCGCCTTTAATTCGTCATTGTCGAAGTTTTCGGACGACCAAAGGGGTAATTTTCCAGAACGGAAGCGGGGAAATAGTATTACAGGTGGTGCGTTAGTTTGCAGTATTCGCTCTGTAAACGTCATTGATGTAGCGTGCCGCTTCTGCCCCAATGCTGCCACGATGGTACTCATATACCATAATTACGCAAATTTTTAACGTAGCTATGATAACAAAAAAATAAACAAATGACTAATTTTGAAAAAAGAGTTCATTTTTTTTTAAATAAAATTAATTATAAATTAAAATTCTTAACCAAATAAAAATAAGTCAGTACCTACTGCAGAACGGCAATTTCATAGGTGAATACCTATTATAAAGTATGAAGTTACAGGTTGCTGGATTTGTGTGATAAACTTTCTTCACTCGCGGAACGTGGACCCAATATTTACGAGATCCTACTGCCAAAACTGTAAAGGCTGCACAACTCACAGCGTACTACGAGTACACTTTAAAAACCTAGTGAACAAAATTAAAACATTTAAACTTATGTTTCTTTCAGTCCCAAAAGTAAGGTAATGTGCTGTCCTCTATGGTCATGTATACTATGGATTATCATTATCAACATTATTGGCATTATTTTGTGTGTAAGGAGAATACATTCCTGTCAAGAGACGACGTTTAATTTTATCAGTCATAGCATGAAATATTATAGAAGCATCCCAAAATATAAACATTTTATTGATAATTTGCAGTGGTCGCTACATTGTTGTGGGGTAAATACTGTGTTTACTATACTATTACGTTAAGATTTTATATATATTTTTTTTTATAGGATAGGGTGACAAACGAGCACACAGTCTACCTGATGGTAAGTGGTTGCTGTGACCCATAGACTCTACGTTTATCCGCAATAAAGAATCAAAATGTAGAAATGCGTCGGCACCCGTGTGGACTAAGATGGAATGCCTCTTTTCCATGGGTCTCAGGTTCTCTACACTCACCATACGAAACACAGCACTGTCAAGCTGCCATTTTAAGCTGGTGAATACCAGCGTAAAATGGCAGCAGTGACAGACAGACAGACTTTGTGAGACAACTATACTACAAATGTAGCTGCAGCATGGCTCTACCACGTATAAAATTAATAATGATAATAAATAAATTAGTTTAGAATAAGGAGTCTTTAGTATTCTATTTTTGACTGGGATTTAGGAGGGGCAACAGGGGTCCGGGTACCATCTCCCACCAGTTCTCCCCGAACCTAGTGATAGGACGCTAAAAAGTGCTTTAAAATTCTTCTGACACTGCTAGGTGCTGGCTGCTACAGCGAAACGGTCGGTTCGCTCGCTCGGCTCGCGCGCTGTGGTCACCAGTAACCTAAAACTCTTCCTCACTTCGTTCGTCGTCGGTTCTAATTACAAAGGACGGAATAAATGTCTTTAAGCATTATGTACTAATTTACTTACTTGCCTAGTATACACGGGTCACGGTCACGGGTAATCACTTGTATTAAACGAAATTCATTCATCTATTTATACATACAGCCTATCAAAAGTCCACAGCTGAATGTAGGCCAATCTTATAGATGATTGCATCATAGAGGGGATATGGTGGGCAATTCAACGGCTTCTCTTATTTGTTCACCATCATCATCATATATTATTAAAGCTCATAAAAGAACATAGGTCTCCCCAAGGAATGCTACAAAGCGCGGTCCTGAGCCATGTGCATCCACCGACTTCCTGCTATTCTTACCAGGTCATCACTGCATCAAGTGGCGGGTGGTTCTATACTTCGCTTGCCGTTACGAGGCTGCCACTGGAGAACCTTTCTTATTTGTTCAAATGCCTCAAAACGTAAAAAAAATATTCTTAAAAAGTACCTATTTTCGTGCAAAAAAACCGCAAGGAAATGCATCAGAGTTTTGTTGTACTTCGAATTAGACCAAAATCCCAAACGAAAACGTGTTGCAGGATATTAAAACAAACCTTAGAATAATAAACAAGTACTTATTTAAGGGGGAAGGGGTAACAATCTTTTCGATGCATGGTTAGCAGTTCTATCAGATTTTCAGAATAATGACCATATTTTGCTGTGTGACATCTCCATAAAAGTCCACCGCCGTGCGTTTCTTCAGAAATTTTCTGCCACGAACGATCACATTGTGCCAGCGGTTTTCTGGGCCGTTATGATTTAAGGACTACTTTCTAAGAAGATGACAATGCACCTGAATTTTCCTCTGTACATAAGCGATGGTCACTTACCATCAGGTGAGCCGCATGCTCGTTTGCCCCTCTTCTATATAAGTATGTATTAGGTAAGAAAAGAAAACTCCTTGAGTCCATAATTCCTTACAGCCGGATGGGGTTGTATTCTTGTCTTATAAAATATTGAGAATACTCTAAAATATACTATAGAATAGGATACGATAATAAAAGTTTTTCTACAGCGAAAACGTTACATTTAACGGGACAGCGTTTTATTTAATGGGTTGTGGATGAAAAGGTTCAAAAAGAAACATGGCTCTGGCGACCGACTAATGACGGTAAATTCATCCAATATCACCGGATCCAAATGTCACAGAGCAGTGATGGGCAGCAGCAACACTACTATGGCCTACAGTCTGCGCTGCTGATGCATTCTTGGAAAGGACTACGTCCAGCAGAGCAATTAAAGGTTGTTGGGAGATGTACGTTCAATAGTTGTTGACATTGGCTGATGATGAAGATGACAATGCAAGATTTTTATTTTCTTTTAATTTTGTATAACTATTTTTTGTATATAATTTTTTATTTTAAAGCCTATTATTATTTGTCTTGTACTTACATGTTTATTATTTCAGTTAAATTCTTACAAAGATTGGTTCACACACGACTGGTATGATAAAATACGCGATTATGAATGGGATCCCATAGCAAATAAACAAACTGTTCGAAGTATAAGAGAAGCATCTGATAGTGTCCCCTTAAGGTGCATATATTAAGATCAAATATTTGTTTTGCTGGCTATTTAGTATTTACTAATTCCATAACTACAAACAAATTTGTTGTTTTATATATTTTTTTTAAGAAACCATGTTTTATAAATTGAAATATCATTATTGTCGATGCTCTTCTGCTGTTCATTGTTGTCATGTTCATTATTGTTGCATCTGCTATAGAAATATTGCAGACGAAAAATAATTATTTGCAAACTAGCTTTACACAGCGATTTCGTCTGCGAAGAACATTGGCAGATCTATTGTGGTTTTTGATAAACAGTTAATTACCGAAAAACCACTTTAAACTCAGTTTTTTTTGCTATTATCTCGAAAACTAGTGCAATTTGGGAAAATGGTTAAAATAGAAATTGAAGATCTATTGGTTTCACGTAAAAAAGGTCTTATCACCATTGAACATTTCATATTCTTAATTTTTGCTTTCGCTCAAACGTGCTCGCGCACCTTACGGCGATTAAAGCAGTATCCCTTTCAGCAGGTCTGTAAGGAAAACATTTTGGGTGTTTTCCTTGATCGGTGTGCTGTCCAGGAAGTCCCTTGTTTTGAGCGCTGAGTGTGAGCGTTAACATAGTGAACCAGTAGGTAGCCTGCGGAGCCTCGTGTTTGTTTGCTTGTTGCTCACAGTAGTGAACACTTCTGACAATATTTTTTTTTCATAGGATAAGGGTGACAAACGAGCACACAGTCCACCTGATGGTAAGTGGTTGCTGTGGCCCATAGACATCTACATCTATCTTTGATTACGAATCAAAATGCAGATGCGTTGTCACCCGTGAGGACTAAGATAGAATACCTCGTTTCCAGTAAAAATGGGTCTCCGGTTCTTTACACTCACCATACGAAACACAGCAGCGTTCAGCTAGCAGCTTTTACGCTGGTATTCTGTGAGAGCGTGATCCTTCCCCAGTCGAGCCGACCTATTCGTGCTACAACTATACCAGTAATATAGCTGCAGCATGACTCTACCACGTACACCACGTACGTGGTAGAACCATGCAGCATACTACTAAATTACGTGGTCCGTACCGTTGTAAAGGTATTGACCAAATACCTCGTCAGGGTAAAAAATATTACTTTCAAAATTACAATAAAGCCATTCGCTAATTTCATAAATTCATTTTGAAACTAAACTGACGACTGGCGCTTAATTTCTGGATCGTTTTAACAAACTCAAGATTTATCAGCTGTAATAACGTCATAAACACGCTGGGACGAGCTTGTTTCAGATTTTAGTAATCATGATCTTATGGCACCGTTCCTCGCGGGCTTGCTTCGGACCATCGGTGAGGTTGTGTGGCACCCAACGCGAAACTATTCTCCTCGAGCGAAAACTGTCGTGTAAATTCTAGTAGACTGACCCAATATAGTCTGCAATATATTATTATTAATTTATAGGCTTGGGTAATATAGCACCTACGCCACTCAATTGTTTTAACTTACTTTACTGAGGTCAAGTTTGTCAACTAACTTATGTGGAAATTTGTAACTTACAACTCAATCCCTAACATGCGATTTTACATCACCATAAGTATCACGCAAAAAAAATTTATCGAAAAGGACTGGAAGTAGACGAGAGTTGTGTAAAAAAATAAATAACAGTAGAATCTCCGGTTTGGGTGATCATATAAAACGCGTTATGGCGCCATGATTTAACTCAGTGCGCCAACATAGAAACCTACGGCTGCACTTGCACCAACAACTTAAGAATTTTTCAAAAAAGTAAGACCTTTGGTCAGGAAAGGTTTTCTACCCGATTTACAACCAGTTGGGTACTGTCTTCTTTGTAGATGCTTGTAATTATGCGTCGTAACAATTTCACTATTAAAAGTTATAATGTTAGTATGATAATTATAGGTACAATCTGTGTTAATTGTGATTAGTGACGTAAAGTTGTTTAATTATCTATTAATATATTAACTAAAATAATATAAACCAAAATATTTTTTGTCGCCAGTTGCTGCAAAAGCGGATCTTGTATATCAAGTTACTTAACGGAGTTGGGTACCCATTCTATAAATACAAGTGGATGTGGTGAATTAATGTACCGTATCATCATGATTTCAATGTATGCGCACTTACTCTTGTTCTTCTTGGTTATTATTATTGAGGTAAATTTTAGATTTTATTTCAACATTGTCTATAATTATTTACTTATAAGTAGTTACTGCTACCAATTTTTGCTAAAAAACCATAAAATCAATTCAGATTAATTTTGAATCTACGAAAGATAATTTAATGATATACATTTTAAATAAAACTACTTTTACGGATTTTATCGCGTTTAATTAACTTATTTTATATTCCCGACGTTTCGGGTGCTTTCCAGCAACCATGGTCACGGGGGACTGAGGTGATTGACGTCCCGGTGTCAGAGTTAATCCGGAGTTTTCTTACGTTTTTTGGACTTTGCAGGTCAGGGTCAAATTGAACGTTTAACAAAATATGATTCGCGACCGTAACGAGTATGTTTTTACAGAATTATTATCATTATAATCATCAATACAACCCCCTAAGTTCGTATAATTCTATTAGGCCACTCTGGAGCTTTCACCTTAAGCTTTTTTAATTATTAATTTCGGTCTGATCTACGCAGAATGAACTTACATATATAAATGATATAATATGTATAATTGTCATTCTACGTAGATCGGACTAAAATTAATAACTAAAAAAGCTGAAGGTACTCCGGATTAACTCTGACATCGGGACGTCAATCACCTCAGTCCCCCGTGACCATGGTTGCTGGAAAGCACCCGAAACGTCGGGAATGTAAAATAAGTTAATTAAACGCGATAAAATCCGTAAAAATAGTTTTATTCAATGTGTAATGTTCGCGTAAATATAAGATACAAATTTTATGAACATTGTCATTAGATACTCGTACTTCTCCAACTGTCGCCGAGTCGTAACTCAAACAGAATAATAATAACTGTTTAAAAGAACTTAGATTTGAAAAAGTACTACCGCAAGATATTATAAAGTACTCCAAAACCATTGATGTAAAGAAAACCGCAGGTTTATAGGAGATTTTCGTTACAGTTATTTCGTCCATAATAGATTTAATTGCACCTCATTTTGGTATAATTTTTAATACTAGTATCAATTCTGGTATGTTTCCTGAAATATAATTCCTTTAATGAAACATAGTAAAGTAATACCTTTATTTAAATCTGGTTTTGTATAAATTGGACCCCCGCAAATTTTAGACCTATTTCTGTACTACCAACTCTTAGTAAGAAGGGTGCTAAGAATCTCCGGTGGAGGTTCGGTTGCCACCTACGACGACTCGACCTGGCAACATACAACGCACGCACCCTGAGGACTGACGGGAAGATTGTGGAGCTGGAAGAAGAGACAGACAAGTTACGCTGACATATTATAGGATTATCCGAAGTCCGAAGAGAGGGGGAGGGAGGACACGGTAATCCTCGAATCCGGCAACTTGCTCTATTACCGGGAGGGCGACCATCTGTCCCAAGGAGGTGTCGGATTTATCGTCCACAAGTCTCTCGTTAACAACGTTGTAAAGATTGAGAGTGTGTCGACGAGGGTTGCGTACCTTATACTCAGAATCACCAAGCGGTATTCGCTGAAGGTCATACAGGTTTACGCACCAACCTCGGCACAACCCGATCAGGAGGTGGAGGAAATGTATGAGGATATCTCTAGAGCCATGCATTCCTCCAAAACCCAATATACGGTGTTAATGGGAGACTTCAATGCAAAACTAGGCACAAGAGAGAACGGTGAGCTGAAAGTGGGGAAATTTGGAATAGGGCAACGGAACCCAAGGGGCCAGCAGCTGGCCGACTTCATGGAGAAAGAGGGACTCTTTATGATGAACTCTTTCTTCCAGAAGCGGCCCCACAGGAAGTGGACCTGGTCGAGCCCCGACGGTTCGACAAAAAATGAGATTGACTTCATTATGACGACCAGACGACAACTGTTCAGTGATGTCGCAGTGATCGCGAGGGTGAAAACCGGCAGCGATCACCGAATGGTTAGAGGCACACTGAACCTAAACGTTAAGCTGGAGAGGTCTCGTCTAATGAAGTCAACGCTCCGTCCCCCTCGTGCTCTAATCCAAAGTCCCGAAACCTTTCAGCTCGAGTTACAAAACCGTTTTCAGTGCCTAGAAGACTGCAATGAAGTGGACGATTTGAATGACCAGCTCGTGGAAACTGTCCATGCGGTCGGAGCTAAGTTCTGCAAGACCCGCCGCAGAAGAACACAAAAACTCTCCGATCACACTCTTAATCTCATGGCTGTTAGACGGGAGATGAAGCTACATTCTTCAACAGATTTGACAGCATACAGGCAACTGAACAGACAGATCTCCAAATGCATGCGGCGGGACTTACGCAACTTCAATACAGCTCGTATTGAAGAAGCGATCGAGCGGAACCAAGGCTCCAAAGTCTTTGCCAGAGATCTGTCTGCCAGAAAGAGCCAACTGTCAAAGCTGAAGACCGAATGTGGCAGCATCGTTTCCGGGGCACCTGAGATTTTGAGTGAGATTGAGAGGTTCTATGGGCAGCTGTACACGTCATCGTTGGAGCCGCACGCAAGTGTGAGTAACGATCCAAGAGCGAGTCTTATCCGACATTATTCCGATGATATCCCGGACGTCAGTCTGAGCGAGATTAGAATGGCTCTCCAGCACCTTAAAAACGGCAAGACCCCAGGCGAGGATGGAATTACAGCGGAGCTTCTGAAAGCGGGTGGAAAACCGGTACTTGAAGTCCTTCAGAAGCTCTTTAATTCCGTCCTCCATGGTGGCATTACACCGGAGGCGTGGAGCAGAAGTGCGGTGGTCTTGTTCTTCAAGAAAGGCGACAACGCTCTCTTGAAGAACTACAGACCGATTTCCCTTCTGAGCCGCGTCTACGTGCTGTTTTCGAGAGTCATTACGAATCGTCTCACGCGTAGACTTGACGACTTCCAGCCTCCCGAACAAGCCGGTTTCCGAAAAGGCTTTAGCACCATAGACCACATACATACCCTTCGGCAAATTGTACAGAAGTCCGAGGAGTACAATTTGCCACTATGTCTGGCGTATGTGGACTATGAGAAAGCCTTTGACTCAGTCGAAATTTGGGCGGTGCTGCAGTCCCTTCAGCGATGCCAAGTTGAATGTCGGTATATCGAAGTGTTGAAGTGCTTGTACAGTAGGGCTACGATGGCTATCCGAGTACAGAACCAGAGTACGAAACCTATCCAATTGCAGAGAGGTGTAAGACAGGGTGACGTTATATCCCCGAAACTCTTTACCGCTGCATTGGAAGTTTTCAAGCTTCTGGACTGGAAAGGATACGGTATCAATATCAATGGCGAGTACATCACTCACCTCCGATTTGCCGACGATATAGTCCTTATGGCAGAATCGCTGGAGGACCTAAGCACTATGCTCAATGACCTCAATAGTGTTTCCCAACGGATAGGTCTTAAGATGAACATGGACAAAACAAAGATCATGTTTTATGTCCATGTCACACCTATGCCGGTAGTTGTTGCGAACACTAAGCTCGAAGTTTTTGACGAGTATGTTTACCTGGGACAAATAGTCCGACTAGGTAAGTCCAACTTCGACCGAGAGGTTAATCGACGGATTCAACTCGGTTGGGCAGCGTTCGGGAAATTACGGCACATCTTCTCGTCAGGTATACCTCAAAACTTGAAAACGAGACTGTACACCCAGTGCGTGTTGCCAGTGATGACATACGGAACTGAGACGTGGTCCTTCACTGCTGGCCGGATGAGGAAGCTCAAGGTCACTCAGCGAGCTATGGAGAGGGCTATGCTCGGAGTTTCTCTGCGTGATAAACTCAGAAATGAGGATATCCGCAGTAGAACCAGAGTGACCGACATAGCCCAACGGATTAGTAAGTAAGCTGAAGTGGCAAGGGGCCGGCCATATAGCTCGAAGAACCGACAACCGATGGAGAAGAAAGGTTCTCGAGTGGCAGCCTCGTACCGGCAGGCGAAGTGTAGGGCGTCCCCCCACTAGATGGAGTGACGACCTGGTAAGATATGCAGGAAGTCGAGTGGTGCAGGTGGCTCAGGACCGTGCTTTGTGGCATTCTTTGGGGGAGGCCTATGTTCAGCAGTAGACTTGTGAAGGGCTGTAATGATGATGATGATGAACTCTTAGTAAAATTTTTGAATAAATAATTTTGGATCAATTGTTAAATTTTTTGAATACAAATAAATTACTCCATAAAATCCAATTTGGTTTTACAAGGGGTAACTCGACGTCTGATGCTGATGTTGAGCTTATCAGATATATTTTTAATGCCTGGGAGAATTCACAGGATGCCTTAGATTTTTTTTGTGGTCTTTCCAAGGCTTTCGCTTGTGTTCATCATGAGACATTAATCAGGAAACTAAAACATTATGGTGTCAAAAATATTGCGCTTAGACTTATTATTTCATAATTAAATAACAATTCAATAAGTCGTTATCAATGGTTAAGGTTCCTCCGGATCGGTAGTATCAATGGGCGTTCCTCAGGGCTCGATTCTTGGCCCATTCCTGTTCTTAATCTATATTAATGACTTACCTTATCTTGTAGGGGACAATCATGATATAGTATTATTTGCTGATGATACCTCTTTATTTTTAAGGTCAAACGGCATTAAATTAATTATGACCATTTAAATATTGCTCTGTCGAAATTAGTACATTGGTTTAACGCCAACAATTTGCATTTAAACGGCAATAAGATAAAACATATTAAATTTATTATACCTAATGTTAAACATTTCAAAACCAATGTGCTCTTAAATGGGGAGGTGTTAAGTCTTGTGGATACAACTGTTTTTCTTGGTATTACTATTGACGCGAAGCTTCAATGGAACCCCATATATCTAAATTAGCAAGTAGACTTAGTTCTGCAGCATATGCTGTAGGAAAGATTAGAAGTCTCACAGATGTTGAGACAGCTAAATTGATTTATTTTGGTTACTTTCATAGCGTAATGTCTTATGGAATTTTGCTATGAGGCGATGCGACTGATATTGAACCCATATTTGTTTTGCGAAAGAGAGCCGTACGGATGATTTATAACTTAACCTCGTAAGGCCCAAGGCAAAAATAGGATGCAACCAAATACCACTCAATGTTCTCGGTGGAGAACTTAATAAACATTACGCTTACCGCTCAGACCGAAACGAGTTCATTAGAAAGATTTCTAGGAAAGATAGAACAAAACGCTTTACGTGCCTCATATATAACACCCCTTTGAGCATATTTTTAGAACTTTTGACGCGATTATTTTTGTTCTCATGTGAAGACATTGGGTCGTTGTTGCATTTTACCTAAAGTTTTATTTGTGATCAGATGATAACATTGTTTTTAAGTATAATGAATATAAAATATAAAAAATTTCAATTTTATACTTCTTTTACTCCTTATTTAACATAATAAACTAAAAGCGTGCAGCAGCTGGAATTCTGTTCTTCATGATAGTGCCTGTGCATCCAATTCCTCTCTTTAGAAGTTCATTTGCCAGTTTTATTGAGGTGCAGTATCGGTCGAAGTAAAAGATGTGTCCTGGGACAAGTGTATTAGCTAAAGTGATTACAGCTTTCTCTCCCAATCCATGGTTTGAATCTTCTAACTCTTTGTAAGTGGTTGACCCTTGATAGATATGAAAATCTGTCACTATTCCACTGGGATTTGCAAGAACAAAGGCCTTCATACCAACAGGATTTGGTTTGCCGGGGCAATATTGTTTAATTCCACATGCCACACTAAAAGGCACTTTCATTTCGTCAAGAGACACTTCTTTTTCTTTTTCTTATACCCTACATCTTTCTTGAATTTGCTGTATCAAAGGTCTGATTTTCCATAACTTATCTTCCGCACGTTAAGCTTGACTGACATTGTCATCAAATACAAATTTGATAGAGTTTCTGATGTGTATAAATCTGTAACGGGACATGTTATGCGCAATTATCGCCATTCTCCATTTACTTTCCCAGTACATTCTTATTACTGGATAGTTTACAGAAGCCATAACGAACGTAATCCCGATGTACACGTAAAATTCATTCATATCTAAATTCATGCTTTTTCTATGCAATTTTACTGAAGTGTAGTTTGTTCTTTTAACTAGTAACTGTATAAACTTATCATCTTGTTCAAAATATGTAACTTTTTCAAAAAAATCTGAGTTAAGTGGTAAATAAGTCGGCTGCGATAATTTCATTTCTTTCGGTGGGAATAGTTTTTCAGACCAAGCAGGTAGTGAAATTTTAGAGTCACTGGCAGAGGAAGTTATATTGCTGCTACAACCACGATTACTTCCACGAGTATAGCAACGACGAGCACGCGATGGAGGTAGCTGTATTATTCTTTCTTCGTGGATTGTTTCTGGCTCTGATCTTTCAGAATCACTCGAACTAGATAAATGATCTAACTCAAGTCTAAAAGGTGGGTCATGGTCATGCAAATCTTCATAACTAGGTGCGAAGTCTTCAATCTCCGATTGGTTTAATAATTTAGAAACATCTTCATCACGCTAAACTATAATAAATAGAAATAAGTACTTTAAAAACAAAATACTTCAATTTTCTGATATAAGATTACTTAACTGACTAACGCCCAATGATCTCACATAATACCAAATAAAAAATGACTGTAATTGCATAACTACCGCCTCGTGTGATTGTCCAATCACATATTTTTTTAAATCAAAATGATTTTTTGTGCACATCAGTATATTGAAAAATAATACAATATTTATGTAAAACACAATCTCAATTTCATGATTATAAATGATTTGTTGGAAAATTAAACGGATTTATTAAATAAATCAAGATAAAGGCTCACCATGACGACGCGTGGACTCCATGTTTGCTCAATTCAGTTTAAAATGAAGAGCTATCTGTGGTTGGTTGCCTACTTGCTCTTGATCCAAATGTTGCTAGCAAAAGGGCCAATCACTGACGTCTAATAAGAAATACAAAACTCGGGAATTTTTTAATCTAGGAACCAAGATATAATTTGTCCTCAGTGGATGACAGTGGGCGGTAGTTTTGATGACAATATTTTTCGTATTGGGCCGAAACGCATAAATTATTAAGTACATCTCTGATCACATTGGGCCTTACGAGGTTAAATTGTAAAGAATCACTCAGTGAAAAATTTAAAGACATAATATGTTTATTAACTATGGCATCGCAATATATTTATGAAAGTGTAATGTATGTACATAAAAAATAAATAGCGTTAATAAGAATAAGGATGTTAATACTTTAAACACTAGGAAGCAACATAAGCTAGTAATACCAGTTACTAGACTCCACACAATCAGTAGTTCATTTATGAGGCAATGTGTACGCGTTTACAGCAAAATCCCAGAATATGTTTAAAGTTTGTCAATAAAGGAGTTTAAAAGTTTTATTAAAGAAAAACTATACAAAAAGGGTTATTATAATATCAAGGAAAGTATGAATGAAAATAAACCCTGGGAATAAGGTGATCGCCACCATTCTGGTTCTATGGAAGTTCATTTAAAAATTGTACAAAAAAATTATTGTTAGTGAAATATGTTTTTAAAAAAAAGTCCCGCTTCGTTTCTAGCTGGTTCTTCCCAGAACAGAGGTATTTTCCGAACCAGTGGTAAATAAAAAGTGACTTACAATAAGAATTACATACTAATCAATATTGAATAAAAATCGTTCATAGGCACAACAATGCCTCAGTGGTTTTCTCTTTAATTGTTTGTTAATTTTTAACTCTTTTTAATTTTTCTACTTTTATGAATATCTGTGGTTTGGTTTATTTATTTTTAATCTAATTAATATAAAATATAACTAATAGCACAGAAACAAAACATTAACCTTTACATTTTTGAACAATTTAACTTCACCGCTATGAAATCTGTCAAATATTACAACTAATTTTTAAGTGGCGCCGCCCTAGTGGCAGAAAAAGTCGTGGATGCACTGAGCAGGATGCCCACTAATATTTTCTAGGATTTCAGGTAGTGTTTTACCTTTTAACCAAAGTAAGGAATTAAGGTATTGCAAAATTTATAAATTATATAATAATATTATTATTTAAAACGAGGAAGTTTAATTTGGTTTAAATGCAGTAACTACGTAATACGATTTATGTTTACTTTTGTGTTTATTAAACATTAATTAATAATTAAAGCATAAGAGTATATTTATTGTTGATCTGTAGTACTTGGGGTAAAAAGTCCGAAGAACAATCAAAAGTGAATTCCGACTATCCACTCCGTTTGGAGAGGATAGATAAACACGCGTTACCAAGTATCCCTAAAAAGGACTTGTAAGGGATATTCGGATGAACTTTTTAGGGTGGATAAATAGAATGACCCAAATTAGTAAGATTTTGAAGGCCTTAAAGATATTAATTTATTTAAATTGTTTTGTGGCAGGGCTTAATCCTACAATTCATAATACGCAAGCAAGATTATAGCTGTGAAAACACTAAAAAGAACTTAAAACATATAATGTCCGTAAATAACAATTTTGAAGCGTCCAGTAGTTCGTATCAAATGAACTCGGAGGACAGTGAAGATTTAGAGTCGAGAAAAAAGGAAAATGATTAATGTTTTATTATAACCTATGTAATAGGTGAATAGATTTATACTTTGATTGCAGTCAAGGTAAATCGACAGATTTTTTTCATATAATTCACAGCTCATACTGCTATCTGCTATCTGTCAATTTGACATTTAGTTTCGTGTCAATTCAGCCATTTTAGGTACCTATTTATATAATTCAGTACTCGTAATGATTAATTTTAATTAATCTAGTACCTATTCGAATTCTCGGTTTGATACTCAAGAAATTCATTGGATTTGAACACCGTCACAACGAGTAATAAAATATTTTGTTTTATTGATCACTCAATGCTGCTAAAATATATAATGCTGCTAGCTTAATTTGAATCTTGAAGTTTTTTTTTAACATAATTACTATATACGAATGAATAGAATACGAGTACGTACGCATATTATTCATTTTTTGGCTGAAAGCCTAGTAACAATTAATGCCACAGTATTTCTTTTTTACTTATTATAAGCCAGTGCTTGACCACAATCCCACCTGGTGAAAAGTGGTGATGCAGCCTTAGGTGGTAAATCGCACTGTCTTATCGTAACAAAAGCCTATTCACTCTTGCCTTGAAGACCCCTAGATTGTATTCGGAAGGAAAGATAGACGCCGGCAAATTATTTCACTCCTTTGCTGTACGCATTACAAAAGACGAAGGAAACCGTTTGGTTCTAATGCGTGGATAAAGACCTGCCGACCGTCTGGTTGTCCAATGGTGGAAAGGAGAGTGAGGAATTAAGGCGTGTAATTCCTGCGCACACTCACCGAAATGCATTCTATAGAATACCGAGAGACTGGCTACTCTGCGCCTGTGCTCGAGGCAGACAAGATTGGTTTCAACCAAATCAAGGTCACCAATGAGCCTCTTAGCACGTCTCCCCACTGAGTCCGATGCTGCCAGGTGGCATTTAGCAGCACCAGCCCATATATGACAGCAGTACTCCATGCACGACCGGACTTGCGCTTTATATAAGGTAAGAAGCTGCCCCGGCGTGAAGTACCGCCGCACCCTTGCAAGGACACCAAGTTTCCTTGGGGCTGCTTTGGCTCTGGACTCAATGAACCGCCCATAGTTTAGGTTCGGAGAAAATTCAATCCCTAACAACTGAAGGCGGTCAGTGTACTCCAAGGATACATTCCGGAAAGTAGGAGCCAAGGTGGGCGGGCTCCTTTTAGCGGTAAGAAGACACGCTTGTGTTTTGGAGGCGTTAAATCTCACGAGATTGACATCGCCCCATTCGGAGACTGTCTGTAGTATGAGACACACACGCCCAACCATAGCCTCTCTTTCTGACTGGATTTGATCCCGACTGGCCCGGCGCTTGATTGGTATCTCTCCACAACTGTGCTGTCGTCTGCATACCCATAGACACCGGGAATGAGCAGATCATTTATATGCAGCAGGAAGAGAGTTGTGGAGAGAACGGACCCCTGAGGAACACCGGCGTTAGTCGCCACAGTATTGGATGAGCAGCCTTCAACGACGAGCCGGAGAGACCGTTCACTCAGAAAGTCCTTCATCCAGACAATTAGGCCAGGGGATAAGCCGTACGCTGATAGCTTGCCCAATAGACTAGCGTGCCAAACCCTGTCAAAAGCCTTCGAAACATCTGTTCTCGAGGGCTTCGCCCCATATGTGAGTGGCATACGCTAGAAGGTCCCCAGTTGATCGATTTCGGCGAAACCCGTACTGGCGATCACTGAGGAGATCATTTTGCTCTAGGTATGCCATGAGGTGGGCGTTCAATATACGCTCCATAATCTTGCTGAGTATGGAGGTAATTGAAATTGGCCTATAGTTGGCAGGGTCGATACGGCTACCTTTTTTAGGCACAGGCTGCACATTGGCCAGCTTCCAAGATTTAGGCACTATTCCAGTCCTGAATAAGAGGCGGAACAAGCGTGTCAACACAGGAGACAACTCAGGTGCACAGACCTTTAGAACTATAGCTGGTATACCATCAGGTCAACTAGCTTTGTTCACGTCTAGACTTCGCAAGGTTTTAAGAACCTCCTTGTTCGTGATACGGACCTCAGACATAGAGGTACCGCAGTGAGGTAATTGAGATGGTACGCTGTTGCTACAGTCCAGACGCGAATTGCAAGCAAAAAGAGAAGGAAATAAAGTTCGCTTTCTCCTTAGGCGCATGCGCCAGTGAGCCATCTGGTTTTACCAGCGGAGGTAGTGTAGACCGACAAAGTTTGTCTCGACCGCTTTGGCGAGAGACCAATAAGCTCTACTGCTAGATGGTTTGACAGAGAGCTTTGTGCCGATGCGTTTAATGCGGTCGAAACTGGCTTGGCGTCATGCCTTTTTGCACGACTCGGCGGCTTGGTTAAAGGCTCTCTTCTTAAGGCTAACATCCGGAGCTTTACGGTATCGAGCATCGACCCAGGATAAGTAAGCCATATGCTTGTGCTTTTCAGCACGAGCGCACTCGGCGTTAAACCAAGGGTGAGCTTTACCACTAATGGCCACGTCAGCAAAGGGGATGAAATACTCCATCGCTTGACGTATCATATTGGTTATGGCATCCGCGTAGCTCGATGGGTCTCCAGAGGAGAAGCAGACCCGCCGCCAAGGATAAGATGCAAAGAAATGCCGCATCTCATCCCAATCTGCTGACTTGTGTCGCCACATTCGTCGCACTCCGTGGAAATCGTAGTTAGGTGGGGAATATAACGACACAGATTTCACCAGACAGTGGTCAGAAGTTCCCAAGGGTGAGGTAACCTGAACATCGTACCTGTCTGTGTGCCCATCCACATCAGGTACCCTAGTCGCTTGTTGTATCAGCTGGGAGAGCCCCAGCGACAAGGCAAATTTCCACGCCTCTCTCCCAGCGTGGTCGGTCTTCTGGTATGGGAACAGCCAGTCCTGATGACAGGCATTAAAGTCCCCCAGAAAAACCAACTGTACATTAGGGTACCGATTTAGAGCCACATCAGAGGCTTCACTGAGGTGTTCAAACAGCCTAGTTGTCTCCTGTTCACCGCTGTGCGATCGGTAGACACAAGAATAAATAATTTTATCCATTCCTGTGTCTATCAATACCCAGATTGTAGAGAAAGTGGGGTCTTCAAGGTGACGGAGACGCTTACAGCAGATGTCGTTGCGGACGTAAACACAGACTCCGGCGCGCTGATGGAAATTATGCTCCAATGTGTACCCAGGGTAGCCAAGGTACGCCGCATCTAGAGGACATCTGATCTGCGTCTCAGTCAAGAAGAGTAAGTGCGGCTTGTTAGTCTCAAGGTGGTAATGGAGTGCATTGAGATTACAGTGCAGGCCTCGGATGTTTGTGAGGTGCACTTTAATGGAGTATCACAGATATTTTGGCCAAAAGGTCTAGATACCAGACCATAAAGTCAAAAAAAATATATATATTTTAAAAAAAACACTTGACGACTTGTCAACTTGACATTTAAAGTTAAAGACGCTTGGTGGTATCTAGGTTATCTTGTAGCAAATTGAAATAATGCATATATTTTGAAATACATTAAAAAAGTCTATTGTTTGCATGCTTTAATCGTTTTTTATTCATTTTAGACCACAATGGTATTTCTAACAATAAGTAATTTGATTCGTGTACGAGGACCTGATGAATTTTGGAGGAAGAGGAGGATTTTTAGATTAGCAGCACATTTCGTAGGGCGGCGAAGAAATTGTTACTCTGTCGCAGTTCGTAACGTACATCGTGCGTTAGTGTACGCAACTAAAGCTCGCAAATTAAAAAAACAGGACATGAAAGACCTTTGGAATACTCGGATATCTGCTGCTTGTGAACAACATAATATAACAGCGTTTACGTTAAAAGAAGGTTTGGACCGCTCAAACATAATGCTTGATCGTAAATCTCTTTCGGATTTGGCTTCATGGGAACCAAGAACATTTGAATGTCTTGCAGCTATAGCTAAGCAAAAGTTACAATTGGATGGTTTTATTGATACTGTTGATAAAAAATACCCAACAGGAGTAAATTTAAATCTTAAGGATGTGATGCTAGAGGCTTGGTTAAAAGAAAAAAAGTAGTGCTTTATTTTCATTTAATAGTGTAGAAATAAATACTTTTAACTTAGTTTATAAATTACTTTTATTTACAACTCAAGAATTACCTAACTCCTTTTTTAATTGTTTTGTTAATTCATTTTGTTGTTGAAGTAAATATATGTTTTCTATTTTTCTTCTTTGCTGTCTCTCTGTATCTCTAATGACACCTTCATGCATTTTTTCTCTGAAAATAATTATTAAACTGCCTTACTAATCTATATATGTAAAGGCTGAAAATGAAATTAAATTAAAAAAACAGATCAGCACTGGTATTAATGATAAAATATATTCACAACATTTTCAGTAATTTTTGCCTTGCTTTATCTTAAAATTACAGCCAATATAAGTCCCACATGGTTGCAGTCCAAGGAATTATCCACTACTCTGCTCAAGACAACAACAACAGACAACAACTCTACACAAGTCTGTAATATTTTTTTTAATTTCTCAGATATGTAGGTTTCTTCACGTTTTCTTCCACTGTGAAATATGTGGTAAACCAGCACTTAAAATTGCAATTGACAATTTCATTGGTACTGTCGGGAATCAAACACTGTTTGTCCATTTACTGTGAAATATATAGGAAATATTTGGCCCTTGAGCTACTACCGCTTAAACTTATGTACTTGAAACTGAAGTAAATAAATAGAAAAAGGCCTTCTTAAAAATGCACCAAGTTGCATGCATATCTTGGAAGATTAGCACATACTCAACAAGCTGAGTAGGTGGGTAGCTGAGGTCAGAGGGGTTAGTGAGATCAGAGAGAGTAACAATGGTAACGCTGCTCTGCATCACAAACCAGTAGGAATGGAGTTCCATTTTAAGGAATAGATTAATGCTGTTTTCGGTTTGTCAGGGCCTCATTTTGTTGTTGCACCCTGTACTGCATACAGACAAGGTTCACCATATTCACACTGTTCCTTTCATATACTTTACAATTTGTGCTTGATAATGAAATTGTTACAGAATTTCCAAATTAGGTTTTATATAATAACGGGTGGGCCAGAAAGGAGTACGATTTTAAAAACACTCTTGCGTTTGAAGCTTTAGAGAGGGGACTGCACGGGTGGTGGGGTTAAATAGGTCGGTTCTCGGAAATTTAGTCGCGATGGATCACTTCACGGGAGCGCAACGTGCATTCAACGTTAAACATTATTATAAAAATCACGATTCGTGCGCTATTGTTCGGCGTTTATTTCGACGTGAGTTTGGATTACATGACCTAAATCAGTGTCCGAAGGAAAGCGTGATTCGATCGTGGGTCAGAAAGTTCGAAGCTACTGGTTCGACTCAAACAGAAGCCTGCGGGACGCCCAAGGTCAACAAGAACGGAAGACACAATTGATCAAGTTAGAGCTTCAGTTCAACGTAATCCTGCTCTATCGACTCGAAAGCGTTCAGCCGAACTTGTGGTGTCCAGAACATCTTTGCGTCGCATTTTGTTGAAAGATCTGAAATTGCATCCGTATAAAATTCACCTTGTGCAGGAATTACAGCCAAATGATCCAATTTTAAGGAGAGCTTTTGTTGAAACGATGCTGGAACGTTTTCGGAGTTTCAACAATACTCTGTTCTCCGACAAAGCCCATTTTCACATAAATGGGAAGTTGAATAAACAGAATTGCCATTACTGGGTTGCAGAGAACCCACATGCAAAACATCAAAATCCTCTACATTCGCCGAAAGTAACCGTTTGGGCGGCCATGTCAGCGCACGGATTTATCGGACCCCACTTCTTCGAAAATCGACAAGGCCAATCTGTCACTGTAAATTCTGACCGATACATAGCCATGTTAAGGGATTTTTTCTTTCCACAACTGCAACAATTTGAAGCCTATAATCGTGCGACATGGTTTCAACAAGATGGCGCGACATGCCACACAGCTAATGCCTCTTTGGAGGTCGTAAACGAGATGTTTGGTGAGAAACTGATATCGCGCCGAGGTGACATTGAATGGCCTCCTAGAAGTCCGGATCTTACAACACTGGACTTTTTTTTTGTGGGGATACCTAAAAAGTAGAGTCTACTCCAATAACCCAGCGACAATTGACCAGTTGAAGACCAATATCCGGAAAGAAATGGCAGATATTCCCTGTGCAATGTGCCAGCGAGTTTTTACCAATTTGAGGTTCAGATTCCAAGAATGTTTGCAGCGCGATGGTGCACATCTGGATGATGTTACTTTTAAGAAATGAATTTCCCAGATGTAAATTTTTGTAGAAATAAAAATTTGTATGTGAATTGTACTTTTTTTTAATGATTTTTTCAAATTCGCAATTCTTTCTGGCCCACTCTGTATTACAAATTAAATATTGCTCTGAAACTGTAATATAGATAGTGTTATTAAAAAGACAGATTACATAATAAATAATTTTGATTCCATTCCATTCCATTACAGCCTATTAAAGTCCACTGCTGGACATACACCTCCCTCATAGATTGCCTAATAGGGGGATATTTGCCATAGTTGTCACGCTTGGCAACTAGTTTCTTCAAGAAGGGCATCAATAAACTGCCACTGCGTAGGCAAAGATGCATCAATTACATGGGTGATTACTTTGATAAATAGAAATAAAAAAATTGAAAAAAATTACATTAACTTATTTAATAAAAAAGTGCAATTTTATAGGTAGAACTAATATAAAATTGTAGCTTTGTATCTAACATGTTCAAAGTGATAAGCAGCTGTTAGATCATAAGCTGAAGGGCTGGCCATTTAGTTTGAAGAGCCAAAAACAGATGTCTAGGTTAGGTAAGACTAGGAAAGGTTCCCAAGTGGCAAATCTTACTTTAACTTTTTTACTATGTACTGTAATCATTTTATTATATTCAAAGTTGAATTTCAAGGAAACAGTTCTCACATACCATTTTTAAAAATAAACTGTTTAAAGATAAAAGGTTGTATGTTGTTCAGCCAGAATTTTGTTATATATAAGATTTTTTTTTATAGGAGAGGGGGCAAACAAGCATGCGGCTCACCTGATGGTAAGTGACTACCGCCGCCCATGAACAGCTGCAACACCAGGGAGGGAATTGCAGATGTGTTGCCGGCCTTTTAAAAAGGAGTATGCTCTTTTCTTGAAGGTCCCTAAGTCGTATCGGTCTGGAAAAATCGCTGATGGTAATCGATTCCACAAGGAAGTCATGCGAGGAAGAAAACATCTTCTAAATCACACAGTGGTGGACCGCCAATCATCCAGATGGTGTGGATGGTATCGGGAGTTCTGCCGCGATGTGCGTTCGTGAAATTTTACGGTTGGGATTAATCCCAACAATTCCTCAAAGCACTCCCCGTGGTAGATGTGAAAGAAAATGCAAAGGGATGCAAAATCTCTTCGCAGTGCCAATGAATCGAGCCGATCGGAAAGGACACGGTTGTCGATAATTCGAGCCGCTCTGCGCTGGATGCGGTCAAGTGGAAGGAGCTGGCACTGGGGAGCCCCTGCTCAGAGATGGGAACAGTATTCCATGTGAGGCTGAACCTGCGCCTTGTAAAGTTGCAGGCGGTGTGCCGGCATGAAATACTGTACCGCTGTGCTGAGCACGCCAAGCTTTTTAGAGGCCAATTTGGCCTTCTCTTCCAAGTGACCACAAAACTGCACATCACTCGATATGTCGACTCCGAGGATTCCGATACTGGCTGAGGCAAGAAGGGGAGTGGCTTGAAACTTAGGAGATACGACAAAGGGGTTCTTTTTAGCGGTAAACGCACAAACTTGTGTCTTCTGAGGATTAAACTGGACTAAATTTAGTCGCCCCCAATCTTTTTTCAGCAAAGACTCGACTTCAGACACAAGTCTGTTCCAGTACTCGGCGACGTTTTTTAAAATTATAATGTTATGTAATACAGCTTGTAAGGCTTTGCTACACTAAATATATGAGCCAACTTTCCTACACATCCCATATTATCAGTTAAGCCTTAGGAAATATACAAAAACACATAAATTGAACAAATGGAATCAAAACCAATGTAACTAATGATTTTGTACTTGATTATTACAAGTTTCTAAAAAAGTATGGGTCGTTTTAAGAAGTTACACATTATACATTAAACATTTGAATATTATGTGTACTAAATTCCTTTAGAAACTATTTACCTATCAGCTTGTTGTTTCATATGAACATATGTGATAATACCGACCGTGATAGAACATGATAAACCTAATACAATTTTTGATGTTTGGGACGACATTTCACATTTATTTTTACTTCATTTGTCGAAATTGGAGACCGAATAAAAATCAAAATCTACACAAAATATTTTCGACAGTTTTGACAGTAGGCTTGGGCAAAAAATATCGATATATCGAAATATCGATATTTTATAATAAAAATATCGTCGATATTTCAAATCACGATATATCACGGACATGTCGATATTTATTTTAGAGTATCGAATTCGTATCAATTTCGATATATTTTAAAATGTTCGTTTTTTTCGTCGTCCAACCGTCAGTAGATAAAATTTTGGACCTTATCTTTACATCATTCAAATGATGACGATATATTGATATATCGATATTTATCACGCGATATATATCGATTCTGTTTAAAAATATAGATTCGATATATATCGATATATTTTTAATAAAAATATATCTATTTAACAGACTTTGACCTAGGCTTGGGCAAAAAATATTGAAGTATAGATTTTTTCAAATAAGAATATCTATATCGTCGATATTTTAATTCGTGATATATCGGTATATAGATACTTATATTAGAGTATCGAATTTGTATCAATTATATTATATATTTTAAAATGTATTAATGACAAAAATTGTAACAACAAATGGGGGTACAAAAGTATTCATGTGTTTTTTTTATAGGATAAGGGTGACAAACGAGCACACAGTCCACCAGATGGTAAGTGGTTGCTGCAGCCCATAGACATCTACATCTATCTTCAATTAAGAATCAAAATGCAGATGCGTTGTCACCCGTGAGGATAAGATGGAATGCCTCGTTTCCAGTAAAAACGGTCTCCGGTTCTCTACACTCACCATACGAAACACAGCAGCGTTAAGCTGCTATTTTACGCTGGTATTCTGTGAGAGCGTGGTCCTTCCCCGGTCGAGCCGACCCATTCGTACTACAGCCATAATATAGCTGCAGCATGGCTCTACCACGTAAAAATGTGTGGTTGGTTGTCGTTTTTTCGTCGTCCACGATATATCGATATTTATCACGCGATATATATCGATACCATTTAAAAAATCGATTTGATATATATTGAAATATTTTTTCCCTTGCCTTGCTAGTTTGACCATAGTAGATAAATAAATAAAATTGTATGTTGCGAGCTAAGTTTGACTGACTTGCTTTAAACTTTTTATTTATTGCAAAGGTATTAATTCCCATACAGCCTAGTCTGCCTTATTTTGTTCAGATTTTTTTACAATAAATATAACGTTAACAACATTACGAAGTTTTTGTGTGATTTTGAAGACAAATGAATACAGCGGAAAAACAAACGAATCAGACGATGACGTTCCTTAGCGGAAACATGAGATTTGTATCACTATCGCTCTTGTTACATCGTTTATAGTTTACATGCACTAACATTTAATACACAAAATAGTTTCATTTATACGTGGATTTTACCTCTTCGAAATATTAATTTCAACAATGAGCTGAAGCAGCAATCCGCCGACGATCAAGTTTTCGCTAAAAACTTATATTCTCTTGCTTTCTTTCTTTGGCTTGTTTTTTCTTTTTCCTTCTTTACAATATGTTGATGCGTTACGTTGCGTAGTTTTATTGACATTTTGATGGTTTTAGTGACGGTTTAAACCAGCAAATAGTCAATGAAGTTAAATATCTCAAGGCGCTAAAGCAAACATTACTTTGAGGTTCACATCACTAACGCACCACTTCTTTCTTCGTTACTATTAATAGTAGATATCCGCAGACATTTGATATGAAAATCGCACCACTTTTACGTATAAATTTTTTTTATTCTTAAAAATCATCATCATCATCATCATCATCGTCATTACAGCCCTTCACAAGTCCACTGTTGAACATAGGTATCTCCCAAGGAATGTCACAAAGCACGGGGCTGAGCCACCTGCATCCATTGACTTCAAGCACGACTTATCAGATCGTCACTCCATCTAGTGAGGGTTCGCCCAACACTTCGTCTACTGGTACGAGGTTGCCATTCGAGAACCTTTTCTCCCCGATTTATTCTCGGTTCTTCGAGCTATATGGCCGGCCCATTGCCACTTCAGTTTACTAATCTGTGGATATCCTCATTTCTAAGTTTATCACGCAAAGAAACCCTGGAGCCCGCTGAGTGACCTTGAGCGCTCATAAGACCAGCAGTGAAGGACCACGTCTCATATCTATATATCATCACTAGCAATACGCACTGGTTGTACAATCTCGTTTTTAGCTTTTGAGATATACCTGACGAGAAGATGTGTTGTAAAACTCTTCAACAACTTCGAGTTTTCAATGTAGCGGTGAGGAGTTTCGGGAATATAACATCACTCTGTCTAACAACTCTCTGCAGTTGGATATATTATTGAATACCATATTATTATTACACTCTATGGTAGGTTTCATAGACACATTATGTTATAGGTTCGTGTACCATCAGGAGAGCTTATAATATCGGTACATTACATGAACTCGTTTGGAAAAGGCAAAGTCGGTACGTATATATAAAGGTACTCTGTGGTCTGTACCAGTGTACGACATCCAATGGCCCCAATAGTAAAATTGACAGCCCTGGTATGCCCATAAATCACAAATATGTGTAAAAAAATCTAGGTGTCTATGAAATTAAGTTACTCTATAGACTAGGTCTTATCAGTTTGTGGTAGGTATAGATCACAAATTAATAAGAAGTTTTTTTTTATAGGATAAGGGTGACAAACGAGCACGAATTTTTTTCGTCGTCCAACCGTCAGTAGATAAAATTTTGGACCTTATCTTTACACCATTCAAATTATGACGATATATCGATATTTATCACGCGATATATATCGATTCTGTTTAAAAATATAGATACGATATATTTTTAATAAAAATATATCTATTTAACAGACTTTGACCTAGGCTTGGGCAAAAAATATTGAAGTATCGATTTTTTTAAAATAAAAATATCTATATCGTCGATATTTTAATTCGTGATATATCGGTATATAGATACTTATGTTAGAGTATCGAATTTGTATCAATTATATTATATATTTTAAAATGTATTAATGACAAAAATTGTAACAACAAATGGGGGTACAAAAGTATTCATGTGTTTTTTTTTTATAGGATAAGGGTGACAAACGAGCACACAGTTCACCTGATGGTAAGTGATTGCTGCGGCCTATAGACATCTACATCTATCCTCGATTACAAATGAAAATGCAGGTGCGTTGTCACCCGTGAGGACTAAGATGGAATGCCTCATTTCCAGTGAAAAGGGTCTCCGGTTCTCTACACTCACCATACGAAACAGCAGCGTTAAGCTGCTATTTTATGCTGGTATTCTGTGAGAGCGTGGTCCCTCCCCGGTCGAACCGACCCATTCGTGCTACAACTATACCTACTACTAATATAGCTGCAGCATGGTTCTGCCACGTAAAGAATACTAGCGCAGTATAGATCAAAGTGACCGTTTTTATATCTAAACGCTGATGATAATTATTATTTTGGCATTTCCGCTATAAGTCGCGTGTAGTTGGTAACCATGTTAAAATAATCTATTGCAGTTGTATTAATCACCTTTTGTTATAATGATTTCATTATTATTTATATCCGTTTAAATAATACAACCAAAAATAAAGAAAATATTTATGAATTAAAATTGTATATTACATACTTTAAGTAATAATAAATACAATTTTAAATAAAAATATACACGTTTTTTTAAATAATAAAATGCTTAAAAATAGCATTAAAATAACAGTGTATTTTACAATTCCTATAGTAGGTACTGTACTAAAGGGTTACAAAAGTTGTTCAAAGTATCACATAATAATTAGAGAAAATACCTCCACATTGTAACATCTTTATCATTAAAATAGGTACCACGACAGAATAAAATTTTCAACCACATTGCGCACATCAGACAATGACTTCAGTCTCAAGCGTCCAGTCATTTATCACTTAAAGCTTTCACCATAATTTAGCCTCAATTAATAAAGCGCGTGTCACATATTATATGGCACAGCTACCTCCCGCAGTTATCATAGAAACTTGCAGAGCCGCGGTTTGGAATTTCGGCAAATTCACGTTTAGGCGTGCATAGTTTGCTACTGAAGTCTACATTTCTTTTCCTGTTGAAAATATAGAAGTTGAGTAAATAAGTTTTTGTTATACAAGACAATGGGTGCTAAGAAAATATTTACCCTCTACTAGGCAATTCCATTTGGTCAACGAGAACGGATTTGACATAAAGACGATCATTGCACCAGAGAATACACAGAGATCGCGGTTCCAGTACATTCATATCGTACTCCCACGATAACTCGACCTAAACATTCAAAATATTTAATTAAACATTTTTTATTAATTTGCATTATTAGTGTTAATAAATTATTTGGTATACTTATTGAACATACTTTTCTTATTTTACCACCCAAATCCATTGGATGAGTGACTACTATTGTATAGGTAGTGCCGTGCTCTAATCTGCAAAAAGTAAAATATAGATTAATTACAGTAAAATATATATTAATTGCGCGGGTTAAAATAAACATTTTTAAACGTTTAATATATTTGCGCTTACTTGACATAATTGTTTGGAGTCAGATCCATTCCTCTAATAACGCCTCTTTCAGACATTAGAGCTACTTTCAAAAAGCCCTGTTGGTTAAAAAAAAACATAACAGAAATACCTACTTAATATAATGCTTTATTGTAATATTTTAATCAAATGCTAATGTTTAGCTATGGACATTTGATTTTTTTTTTATAAAATTGAAGTGATATAGCAACTTATAATCTATCTGAAAGTGGCTAACTTCATCAAAACAAGGCTAATAAGCGTTGTTATCGTACGTATCAGGTTTAAGATGGGATGCTCACAAACTGTAATTACATTGGCTCTATGATATACCCTTCTGACCGCAACGCAGTGATTGCGCGGCTATTTGGCCCCAGAAATAGGTAAGAAAGTGGTCCAGACTCCGGAACCAGACGAACTTCCAGGCAGGAAAGAAGTCCTACTACATGATAGGCTGTCGTGTATGTGTGTGTGAGTAAAATTTTTTTTCGTGTAAGTAGTATAGTATGTGATTATTTTTAACCTCGGCGTTATATATTTTAGGTAGATTTAAAAAACGAGGAGGTTCTATAGATCTCAGAAATGGCCGGATCGATATTCTCCTTTTATATATACCTAATTTACAATAAGGGTGGTCCCATATTATATCCACATCATTGCGTCTGAGGTCGGGGCTTTAATTCTTCGATACACTATGTATAGTACCGACTATAGAAATCGATTTTTTTTAAATCTTTTTAGGTTTTATAGTCGGCTGTTATTTCTTAATAAAAGTTTTTTTATTTTTGAGTAGTCTAAGGAAATCACACGAACAACTAAAATGTCGTCTACATGAAAATTTTCATCTCCTATACTTCCGCCATTAGGGATGGAACTTTTTTTTCAAATTTATATTGGTCGATCCGTCCCTGAAGTGTGAACTATATAATAAAAAAAGGATTATTTAAATCGATACCGGCGATTCCGAGAAATCGGTAAACATACTTAAAAAATATACGCGTCGATTATGAAATCTGCCTGTTTTGTGAACTTATTCAATTCTTAAAATTGTTAAAATCTGAAATATGGCTTATTAAGTTAGGACCAAAGAGTATACTATAATAAATATATTTATTAGGACTTTACGTCACTAGTAAAGTGAATATTTTAGCTTAATCAATTTGTGTGTGATTTTATGATACGGTTAGGTACACTGAATATATTACCTGAACCCAAGATTCAGCACCTTTCGGATTGGCCAGCTGTATTGTAATTTTGTAATGTCGATCTGTAATTAAAATGGTGTATTGCGATTATTTTCATTTCAAAAATAAAAATAAAATTTAATTTTACAACTTACGGCAAAATGGTTGCTCTTTTCCAGTGCTTAAATAGTATTTGGCCCCGATTGTTTCTTGTTCTTCAGAAGGGAACACTTCGTTTTCAGTCTGGTTGTTTTTATTTGTGATGAGACCAGGTGAACTGTCTGCATGGAATCTAAATGATTTTTCAAAATTGTACATTTACGATTCGGTAAATTTTAGGAAAACCGGTTAAAGTTTATTTTATTATTTTTATAAATGTATTCTTAAATTATAATCATTAATAAAGTATTAAGAGTTTAAAAAACTCTCATACTCCTAGTGAACATGCTAGGTCACATTCATAAAATTATTGTATTGTCATCAGATCTAAATACGTCTACATTTCAGATTATTGCAACTTCTGGATGTAGATGAATTTGAGTTACAAAATTTCATTACATCCATTCATACATACATACATACAAGTCAAGCTAATACAAAACGTGTAAAATTAACATACCCCATTATTGCACAGCCATGACCGCAATGAAAACACTTTCCGGAGATAAAATGTTGATATGATGGACACTGGTGTCCTGTAGAAAACGTAAAGAATTTAGTTTCTAGGTATGTATCAGATGTTTACTTTTGGTAATCTTATAATTAACAGCTTACCTATGTATGGGCACTTTCCATTAATTGATTCGGTGAACAGTTTGATGGCTCTGACATGATTGCAAGCTACTAGTACCCTCGATGCTTCTTCCAAGCCCTGTTTTACTAGGGTGAGCGGTATTAACGGTCCTTCAGTTAGATCACAACCAGGTTGCTCTTTCCCATTGTTCGGATAAAAATCTAGGTGTCCCACAGGCTGTGACATCCCATATCCTGCCATAAACACAAAATCTGTCGCACGCGTGGAATAAACGGGTTGAAAATTAGTGGATTTATGCGATAAATATTTATGAATCTGAATATATATATATAAAACTACATGAATGACAGATAATTTATTCCGGGCAATAAGCACATATGTACAAAATATACATATACTACAGAATTTGTTAGTGTGTTAATTTACGAAAAGCAAAAAGCGATTTTTATACATAAAAATAATTTAAGTTAAAATGGTACAACTACATAAAATACTTATGAATGAAATAGCGAGTGCTAAGTTTTGAAATAACGAACAATTATTTCTTTTACCTAATAGAAAAATGCTTTTGCCGTCGGTGTGGATAACATCTACAAATTCAGCGTCTGTTGGATCCAGTCTTACATGTGTGGGCATCCCTTGAAAATATGGTTCAGCAGGATCAAGACCTGTTATTCTTCCTAGCCCCTATGAAATAAGAAGCTAAATCAAAGATAGCGTGAAGATCCTGTTATAAGATTATTAGGTTTCAATGCGAAATATATGCTTTTGCTTTGTCTTAAACTTACCTGTATCCTTTCTCCGGCGTAGCCAGCTGTATGTGCGCCCAACGAGTGACCAATAATATGTACATCAAGTGGACTCAAACCATGCTCTTTCTGTAATACAATATTAATATATGAAAAAGTTTTTAAAATTTTATTATTCAAAAAATCCCGTGTTAAGATGTTCGTTTACGCTAATCTCTGATTCCGCTGAACTGATTTTAATGAGATTTTTAAATGAGTATTGCTTCCTCCAACTTGAGAGATAGGATAGTTTTTATCCGCATAAGTTACCTAGCGATCACCGGATGGTTAGAGGCATACTGATCCTAAACGTTAAATTGGAGAGGTGTCGTCTAATGAAGTCAACCCTCCGTCCCCATCGTGCTCTAATCCAATTTTCCGAAACCTTTCAGTTAGAGTTACAAAACCGTTTTCAATGCTTAGAAGATTGCAATGCAGTGGAAGATATGAATGACAAGCTCGTGGAAACCATGCGGTCGGAATTAAGTTTTGCAAGACCCGCCGCAGAAGAACACAAAAACTCTCCGATCTCATGGCTGTTAGACGGGAAATGAAGCTGCAGTCTTCAGCAGATTTGACAGCATATAGGTAAATGAACAGACATATGTCAATGCATGCGGCCGGACTTACGCAACTTTAATACTGCTTGTATTGAAGAAGCAATCGAGCGGAACCAGGACTCCAAAGCCTTTGCCAGAAATCTGTCTACCAGAAAGAGCCAACTGTCGAAGCTGAAGACCAAATGTGGCAGCATCGTTTCCGGGACACGTGAGATTTTGAGTGAGATTGAGAGGTTCTATGGGCAGCTGTACACGTGATCGTTGGACCCACACCCAAGTGTGAGTAATGACCCAAGAGCAAGTCTTACCCGACACTATTCCGATGATATCCCGAACGTCAGTCTGAGCGGGATTAAAATGACTCTCTAGCACCTTAAAAACGGCAAGTCCACGTGCGGGGATGGAATTACAACGGAGCTTCTGAAAGCGGGTGGAAAACCGGTACTGAAGTCCTTCAGAAGCTCTTTAATTCCGTCCTCCATGGTGGCACTACTTCGGAAACGTGGAGCAGAAGTGCGGTGGTCTTGTTCTTCAAGCTATCCTAGTAGTTCAAACAATGCTCTCTTGAAGAACAACAAATCGATTTCCCTTTTGAGCCGCGTCTACGTGCTGTTTTTGAGAGGCATTACGAATCATCTCGCACGCAGACCGACGATATAGCCCTTATGGCAGAATCGCTGGAGGACCTAAGCACTATGCTTAATGCCCTTAATAGTGTCTCCCAACGGATAGATCTTAAGATGAACATGGATAAAACAAAAGTCATGTGTAACGTCCATGTCACAACTATGCCAGTAGTTATTGGGAGCACTAAGCTTGAAGTTGTTGACGAGTATGTTTACCTGGGACAAATAGGCCGACTGGGTAAGTCCAACTTCGACCGAGAGGGCAATCAACGGATTCAACTCGGCTGGGCAGCGTTCGGGAGATTACGACACATCTTCTCGTCACGTATACCTCAAAACCTCAAAACTAGTCTGCTTTTTTGATTTCGGTAAGTATAATTTTAGGGCAGGACGACTTCACATATTTTCGAAATATTTTTAATTTCTCAGACATGCAGGTTTTTTCATGATGTTTTCCTTTACCCCAGAGCACATGGTATTATCAGCGCTTAAAATCGGAGTAACAATTTCCTTGGTGTCGCGAAGGATTGCACTAGCGCCGGGGAATTTCAGAGAAAAGCGATCGCTTTAAGAATTTATATAAAAAATTTAAGTGTTTTGAACCTTTAAATCTCTATAAATAAAAGTGTCTATTACTATTGACGTAATAGATATTTATTAATATTTAAATACTTTTTAAATATTTTCGACTTAAATGTTACAACCGGGGAGGGCGCAAAAACGCCTCTAACGGGTAGCGGCTATTGGAACGTGGCTCCCAAAGCACGTTTGATGGGAAGAAATAAAAAAAGTCAGTACCTTTTTAAAACCACACTGACTCTTATTAATTTTTTAGGCTTGTAATGGTTAGTAAAAACTGAGTTGTATGTAAAAGGCGCGGGTCGCCTTTCATACAAATTAGCATGTGTTTTCTATACACCGTTTACCAGAGAGCCCGCGGCCGCAATGGAAAAGTTAGCGGTCCAAATGGGAATCATGCTTTTTAATTTGCGTTGAACGTGTTACCAGCCCGTACGCAGCCCATTATTGGACATGAGCCTCCCTTATAGTAGGATTTGTTGTAATCATTACTCTTGTCAGGCGGTTAAGCCATCGCAGTACCAGACATCTAGAACTTAAAAACAAGCCATTAGGCGTTAGTCCCCTTCATGTTGAAGTTGATAAAAATTGTACGTGAACTGCTGTAGCCAATACCTACATTCTACTTACAGGTTATCTTTATGCTCATTGTCTCCAATGAGACTGGCCGCCGTGACCGATATTCGGTGTATAGGATATTTATATTAATATTATGTTCATAGAGAAAGAAAGTTTAGATTTAATATTTGGCCAGTATTTAATTCTCTACGTACTACAGTTTAACTATAGGTACATTCAATGTTTTGTCGTTAACTTATGTTTTCATAGTTTTATTTTCACTTAGGGTTTTATATTTTTATTTTTAATGGTGTTTCGATTGGTGTTTGTTTTTGTAAGTATTCTGTTGCCTGTAATTAATAAATGAATGTCGTAGTAAGTACCTGCAAAGTGTTTATAAAGTGCGCTACTTCCAAGCCCACAAGTCTTGTGTTTGCTGTAGCTTGCGTATACAGCGGCAGGCTCCCGCCCGCCCAATCCACAATGACTACATTGTAGTCATCTGCTTTCACCAGTTCATCTTTCATCTCACTAACCTTCAAAATAAAAAAAGGAAATATTTTTATCTTGTGCTTTATAACATGCACTATGTAATGTAACACGCGTGGTGTAGTGGAAATGTAAGAAAATTCATTATCGGATATCGTCCCATGGGCGTCGTAAGAGGCGCCAAATTGAAAAAAACTAGGGTTGCCAACTCGTCTGCCAAACGGGAAACTATGGCAAATATGTTCCCTGTGAAGCAATCTATGGGAGGCCCGTGTTCAGCAGTGGACTTTTGATAGACTGTAATGGTATCAGCATGTAAGAGGTAAAACAGTTTGTGTGCTTACCCAGTTTGATAACGGTGTATCTATGAATCCATGAATTATCATTTTGGTGCGCCGCCGTGGGTTGAAGTTAGATTTAATTATCGTTTTATTCATATTCACATTTAATATCTGACCCTCAGTTGGATTTTTCTTTGTGTATAAAATAAACCTGTAAAGAAACGTATAAATAATTGAATGTATTATACAGGCGTAATTTATATAACACAATGATTAATTTTTACTTTGTCATGTAGTATGTACATACATTATAGTACTCTTTTCCACAACTCGATGTATCTGACGAAGAGTTCCAGAATATACACAAGTTTTTAAGATGGGAAAGAAGTTAAATAATTTTGCGCTAGGGCTTGGATAGCGGTATATTTTTCGAAACGTTATCGCCATAAATGCCTAAAAACTTATTTGTTTCGTTTGTGTTCGAACGGAATCATAATAAAAACGTTTATGAAGAGAACGAAATTTTAAATCGTTCTTGTTCAATAAAACGTTTTTAACCATTTTAAACATTTTTTCCCATTTTTTTTGGAACTGCAATACGAAAAAAAAATACCTTATAGGTTTAAACTTGTCGTGGCACGCGCCATACATTTAGTTCCCAGCGGAATAAACCGTTTTTTACGTTTTCACATTACGTTCTCATTTCGTTTTTGTTCCGAACAAAATGTTATACAAGGAACCGTCCCAAACGTTTTAAAAACGTTATTTTTAATAACGTTTCCGAGCCCTGTCTTGCGCTATTAGGTTTGGGTGCTCGATGGATTGGGATATCGGGCTATTGAGGTGAGAATCGGAACATCTGCCGTTAACATGTCTCAATTGATAAGTCGGCGATTACAAAATGAGCTACCTCATACTGACTATAAGGCGCAATATTAGTTTAAACAGCTAAACAATATAGGAATAGTGATTGAATAGTGATTAAATCAAAATATAACCTGGTGTTGATTACGACCCTTGGCAGCGGAAAAACGTTGAAAGGTCGATGAATTAGATGATACCAACTTCTTGTGATGTTTAAGCAGCCTAGCTCATCGTAACATCTTGTTTCATTTTCAACTGTAACACAAATAATTAATTTAATGTTTTAGTATTTATTTGCTCATTAATTACACACATAAGGTCTTAAGAGTAAAATATCGAATAGGGGTAAAAGTATGATGTTGCCGTTTCAATGGAGTGGTCACTTTGAATTAAAATGAAACCTGCATGGTCCAAGATTGGTCGTGATTAAAAGTTTTTTCTACACAAAAACTACAACAATCCAAACTCAAAAATTTTATAACATTCCATAATTTGACTCTCCATTGTTAACATTCAGTAAAGAACGTATTGTTTATATTCTCAAACCGTTTTAACATTAAAAGACCGGCAGTTAGAAACTATGATAATATATCATCCTCCGTACCCACCAGATCTAGCCAAAACCAATTACCTACAAGGAATAAAATTTTGTTCTTAGGAAGCGTTACAAGATGTCAACAATTATCTTCTCTCGAGATGGAAATGTACAGATAATGGTGATAAATACTTCGATGAAATAAATTACTTTTTGTTAAAAAAATATATTAAAAAAATTCAATTTAAATATAATAATAAAAAATTGCGTGACAAAATAACTTTGGTGATGGTCGGCGCAGCGGTGGTATGTTGGTCTGTCTAAGTAACGAAATGCAGAGAATCAATTTGTTTTAAAATTTCAGAAAAATGGTACATAAAATGTGGTAAAACTTTATGGAGTTTTAAAATTAATTATACCTACCCAACATTTAAGATGGACTACTGTTCAACCTAGTCAAAGCCGGGGTGATCCGCTAGTATATGATAAAATAGGTACTTATAACTTATTTACCACATACAAAAATACTACAGGGACTTAAATGGACTAATTAACAAAATATATATTAGGTATTAATAAATTAAAAAAATATTTAAGTATTTCTCTCACCACAAAAGTATAATGCCTTATTACTGGCACAAAAATAAAAGAAATAAAATGTATTTATTTTTCTCACCGCAAAACCACAATGCCTTATTACTAGGGTTCGTTGCTATAACAAAAATGGCCGTGGATCGTCGTTTTTAAAATAGAAAGCTTATTTTAGAATTTCAATAATACATTCTGTTTTAATGTACGATGGATAAAAAGCAATTCTTTAAGGATGCATTTAAGTTTAGAGTGATTAAATCAGTGAAAGGAACCCTTTTTGAAACAATTAGTTATAAGGGTGAGGCTAAGGAAAACAAAAAACCTATGACTAAATGATGTATTAAGAGGAATCGATTAAGTGCCAAGATGATTATGACGTGCAGCGTTCCTACTCAATTAAGGAGTGCTGCTTGAGAGCTCTAGAGCTCTAGATAGAATAAAACGTTTCTATACTGTAAACACGAGGCAATTCTTATAAAGACGTTGTGTGGAAAATAAGCGAGGTTTAAAACAGCACATTTAAAGTGAAGCCCTTTGAGCGCGTTTAATTTACATAAAGACTGTCTTAGCAGCCCCATCTCATGTGGATGAGCAATAATTTACCAGTGTGGAAACAGCTAGACTTGTTTACTTTAGCTATTTCCATAGCATAATGTCGTATGGTATTTTGTTATGGGGACACGCGACTGACACTGAAATTATATTTGTTTTACAGAAGAGGGCCATAAGAGCAATCTATGATTTAAAACCTAAAGAGTCGCTCCGACAAAAATTTAAGGAAATTAATATATTAACTTTGGCCTCTCAAAACATTTCATCATCATCATCATCATTACAGCCCTTCACAAGTCCACTGCTGAACATAGGCCTCCCCCAAAGAATGCCACAAAGCACGGTCCTGAGCCAACTGCATCCATCGACTTCCTGCATGTCTTACCAGGTCGTCACTCCATCTCGTGGGGGGACGCCCTACACTTCGCCTACCGGTACGAGGCTGCCACTCGAGAACCTTTCTTCCCCATCGGTTGTCGGTTCTTCGAGCTATATGGCCGGCCCACTGCCACTTCAGCTTACTAATCTGTTGGGCTATGTCGGTCACTCTGGTTCTACTGCGGATATCCTCATTCCTAAGTTTATCACGCAGAGAAACTCCGAGCATAGCCCTCTCCATAGCTCGCTGAGCGACCTTGAGCTTCCTCATACGGCCAGCAGTGAAGGACCACGTCTCAGTTCCGTAAGTCATCACTGGCAACACGCACTGGTTGTACAATTTCGTTTTAAGGTTTTGAGGTATGTCTGACGAGAAGATGTGTCGTAGCTTCCCGAACGCTGCCCAGCCGAGTTGAATCCGTCGATTGACCTCTCGGTCGAAGTTGGACTTACCTAGTCGGACTATTTGTCCCAGGTAAACATACTCGTCAACAACTTCGAGCTTAGTGCTCCCAACAACTACCGGCATAGGTGTGACATGGACATTGAACATGATCTTTGTTTTGTCCATGTTCATCTTAAGACCTATCCGTTGGGAAACACTATTGAGGTCATTGAGCATAGTGCTTAGGTCCTCCAGCGATTCTGCCATAAGGACTATATCGTCGGCAAATCGAAGGTGAGTGATGTACTCGCCATTGATGTTGATACCGTATCCTTTCCAGTCCAGAAGCTTGAAAACGTCTTCCAATGCAGCGGTGAAGAGTTTCGGGGATATGACGTCACCCTGTCTTACACCTCTCTGCAATTGGATAGGTTTCGTATTCTGGTTCTGTACTCGGATAGCCATCGTAGCCCTACTGTACAAGCACTTCAACACTTCGATATACCGACAGTCAACTTGGCACCGCTGAAGGGACTGCAGCACCGCCCAAATTTCGACGGAATCAAAGGCTTTCTCATAGTCCACATACGCCAGACATAGTGGCAAATTGTACTCTTCGGACTTCTGTACAACTTGCCGAAGGGTATGTATGTGGTCAATGGTGCTAAAGCCCTTTCGGAAACCGGCTTGTTCGGGAGGCTGGAAGTCGTCAAGTCTGCGCGCGAGACGATTCGTAATGACTCTCGAAAACAGCACGTAGACGCGGCTCAGAAGGGAAATCGGTCTGTAGTTCTTCAAGAGAGCGTTGTCACCTTTCTTGAAGAACAAGACCACCGCACTTCTGCTCCACGCCTCCGGTGTAATGCCACCATGGAGGACAGAATTAAAGAGCTTCTGAAGGACTTCAAGTACCGGTCTTCCACCCGCTTTCAGAAGCTCCGCTGTAATTCCATCCTCGCCTGGGGCCTTACCGTTTTTAAGGTGCTGGAGAGCCATACTAATCTCGCTCAGACTGACATCCGGGATATCTTCGGAATAGTGTCGGATGAGACTCGCTCTTGGATCGTTACTCACACTTGCGTGTGGCTCCAACGATGATGTGTACAGCTGCCCATAGAACCTCTCAATCTCACTCAAAATCTCAGGTGTCCCGGAAACGATGCTGCCACATTCTGTCTTCAGCTTTGACAGTTGGCTCTTTCTGGCAGACAGATCTCTGGCAAAGACTTTGGAGCCTTGGTTCCGCTCGATCGCTTCTTCAATACGAGCTGTATTGAAGTTGCGTAAGTCCCGCCGCATGCATTTGGAGATCTGTCTGTTCAGATGCCTGTATGCTGTCAAGTCTGTTGAAGAATGTAGCTTCATCTCCCGTCTAACAGCCATGAGATTAAGAGTGTGATCGGAGAGTTTTTGTGTTCTTCTGCGGCGGGTCTTGCAGAACTTATCTCCGACCGCATGGACAGTTTCCACGAGCTTGTCATTCATATCGTCCACTTCATTGCAGTCTTCCAGGCACTGAAAACGGTTTTGTAACTCGAGCTGAAAGGTTTCGGGACTTTGGAACAGAGCACGAGGGGGACGGAGCGTTGACTTCATTAGACGAGACCTCTCCAACTTAACGTTTAGGTTCAGTGTGCCTCTAACCATTCGGTGATCGCTACCAGTTTTCACCCTCGCGATCACGGAGACATCACTGAACAGTTGTCGTCTGGTCGTCATAATGAAGTCAATCTCATTTTTTGTGGAACCGTCGGGGCTCGACCAGGTCCACTTCCTGTGGGGCCGCTTCTGGAAGAAAGAGTTCATCATAAAGAGTCCCTCTTTCTCCATGAAGTCGGCCAGCTGCTGGCCCCTTGGGTTCCGTTGCCCTATTCCAAATTTCCCTACTTTCAGCTCACCGTTCTCTCTTGTGCCTAGTTTTGCATTGAAGTCTCCCATTAACACCGTATATTGGGTTTTGGAGGAATGCATGGCTCTAGAGATATCCTCATACATTTCCTCCACCTCCTCATCGGGGTGTGCCGAGGTTGGTGCGTAAACCTGTATGACCTTCAGCGAATACCGTTTGGTGATTCTGAGTATAAGGTACGCAACCCTCGTCGACACACTCCCGATCTTTACAACGTTGTTAACGAGAGACTTGTGGACGATAAATCCGACACCTCCTTGGGACAGATGGTCGCCCTCCCGGTGATAGAGCAAGTTGCCGGATTCGAGGATTACCGTGTCCTCCCCCTCTCTTCGGACTTCGGATAACATTTATGAAAAACATTTATGAAAATGTAATGTACGTACACAAAAATAAAGGTAGTAACCAAAAATAAGTGATATTCATTCTGTAAATACTAGGAACAGACACAAGCTAGTACTCGTAGTTAGTATCAGTTACTCGACTCCACCGAGTTAGTAATTCATTCTTTGGGCGTTGTATGCGCTTTTACAACAAAATCCCAGAAAATATACAAAATTTGACCTGCTCAAAGGTCAAAAAGTTTATTAAACAAAGTTTGTATAAAAAGGGTTATTATAATATTAAGGAATTTATGGATGATAATAACCCCTGGGAATGAGGTGATCGCTACCAAGCTATTTCTATTATGTTTTGTGTGGTTAATTGTCTAACATACATGATTCTCAGTTATTATTTTAAAAAAATGTCCCACTGGGTTTCTTGCTAGTTCTTCCCAGGACAGAGGTTTTTTTCCGAACCAGTGGTAATTAAACAAAAGAGTAACTTTCAATAAGTATTATTTATAATCTATATTGAATAAAAAAGTTTCTGTTTCCGTTTGTGTTACCTAGTATCGATTGCCATAGTGCTTAGTAAATCATATTTATAACATTAGTGTCAGAACAATTTTGAATATCTTTAAAAACGTTAATTAACTTATGTACTCTAGTGGATAAGTGTTATATAATGCTCTATGAATATTAAATTACAGTGAATTAGTAAGCCATTATACTTAATAGAAGTATCTGTAATCTGTCAATTTGTATACATAACGTTCTTATATACTTACATGGTAGCCAAGGTATATTCACTTCTATGCGATCAGACCGAGCCCAGTTGAAAGGGTCTAGAATTCCGGCAAACGTTGGCTGTATTACCAGAAGGATACACCATAACATTACTCTCAGATGTCTGTCAGTCAAGTAAAGGCGACGCATTTGACCTGTAATAACGTTATAATGTTTAATATTGTTATTAGAATCACTTAAATCGGAGGAGAGGTCCATTTGTAGACTGTTAAGGGCTGCTAAAATAAATATTATTTAAATTAAAATGAAGAGCTACACATAAAAAATTATAAATGATAACAATTGTTAAATGCCGCAACAAAAATTTAAGTATAAGACAAAAATGTCAGAATCACTTGGATGCCAACTTTGGTTCTACTAGAACTCAGAAGAACAATACACTTATAAAACCAGTGTAATACAGTAATGTAATAAAACAGTACCATGCGGTTTTTAATAATGATTAGTATAAATGCAAAATAGCATTATAGATTAAAAGTGATGTCGATGAAAGCATTATTAATTTTTTATACTATAAAGTTATAAAATAATTCTGATTAAGTTCAACGATAAAAATACTTGAATGTTTCGTTATCTTTATCGTTTCGCCAGCCACAACGTCCACTTACCATCAGGTGGAATGTGTGTTTGTATGTCGCACTTACTTTTATTGTGTTTTTTAAATGTATCATCTTTTGGAACTTAGATTAAGGGTTTAATAAATACATTGTCCCTCTGAATTATTTATAAGCTTATGTGATCATTATTCTTCTGGATCAGCCCGTAAAAAATTACTGTTATTTATGAATAGACTGACCTATCTTTTTGTAGGATTATTTGCCTTAATTGTCACGCTTGGTTGGCGGGTTAACGATCGCAGTGTCGCACCGTCTAACGCTGTAGCTGCCTGTCGCTGGTTGTCTGGCGTAATCGAGATGTACATATATATACCGCTATCAAACCATGAGACTTTTCCGTCATTTCCATAGTGGTAACCTAAGACAACCACAGGATGAAATAATCATTACTACTAAATATCCATAAATGTGTCTCTTTTAAGTGAATTTAGAATGTTTCAAATTTAAGTAATGTAAATACATACTACGCATTCGACAAAAACATTTTACTTCGTCGTTCGTAATGCCACAGAATAAATAATGGTACTACGTAGTAATTGCGTACATCAATAGTGTGGAATAATTTATCAACGTATGACTTGAGGCAGTTAAACCAGTGCGTTTAACTATTCGTATGTTCTAGTATATTTGCACTTACTCGTACCTTCAGACTATATTTGCTCGTTCCATATTATGTCATAAAGCCGCGTCTCCACCAAAGTTTTGTTGGCAACACGTGTTGGTAACTGTTGTGTTGGCAAGAAAACTTTGGTGGAGACGCGGCTTTATGGGACATTCGTTAAACAGTGGTATATGATAAGAATAAAAATGTATGATTTTCTTTCTGATTGTGATCTATCTGTACGCGTTGCTAAAATACAAATGTATTAATAACACGCATTATAAAAATACTTACGCATATAACAAAGGTTGCTAAATAAATCTAGTTAAGTCTAGGACATATTGTTCACACAAGAAAAGGGAGCTGAGAACAGTTATAAAACTCAATAGTTGAGAATAACTATTGAGTTTTGTAACAACATGTTCTTTGTTTAACTTTGTTGTACATAACATAAATAATTGATTTTCTTGAATTCATTATGCAACAGCGAAATTAAATTTCACAGGGAGTTGTAGTCAGTAACAAATTTATTTGCCTATATGTGGTCACTCTTTATTGAAGAATAATGAGAGAAATCTAGGAAATCTAATTGGTATGTACGTGGCAAAAGCTTTTGTTTCTAGGTATTTTGATAAGTAAAGAACGTCGCAATTAGAATTAAAACTTACTATTCCTAATACTATTCATGTATCTAGAGAAATCAATTTTTTATTGGTTTTATTAACGTATCGGTTATTTGCAAGTGTATATAAGTTTTAAAATTATTATAGGTTATATATTACAGTATCTTAAAAACTATAATTATGATGCTATTTTACAGATTCACATTGATTTACTTAAAGTTATGAAATCCTATAGGTGTTTCGGTCACTGAGACTATCGAATATCCTCTAAAATTACGACTATTTTATCCTCCTCTAAAATTATAACTATATATTACTGTTCCCGGAAGAAAATGTTGGGCTCGTTGTTTCATAAGTAACATGGCGAATACGCCAGGCTGCAAAACGAAACATTTTATAGAATCATCTCGTTGTCTGTCTGATTACTGTTACAAGGTTTCCATGATATTCCTTCATGTAGATCGTAGATGATTGAAATTTCGCATAAATATTAAATGCGGTTACTCTCATACAGAAATGAAGGTAATAATCCCTGCTGTAGATTATATACAAGGGGTAAATAAAGAAGTAGAAAAAAATCTTGTTAGTATCGTGTGTATTTTTTAAGGAAGTGTCTATTCATACAATATTCGGACTCAGATTTTAAACAATTTAAATTTAATAGATAAAATGTATATACTCTGATACTTACTCGGATTAGGCTATTTACGTCTAATAGAATAGAATAGAATCAGTTTTATTCAATATAGAAGAAGAACGTAGAACTAAGTTTGCTAGCTAGTTTAGATTTCATACGTGGTAGAGCCATGCTGCAGCTATATTAGTAGTATAGTTGTAACACGAATGGGTCGGCTCGATCGGGGAAGGACCACGCTCTCACAGAATACCAGCGTAAAATATCAGTTTAACACTGCTTTGTTTCGTATGGTGAGTGTAGAGAACCGGAGACCCTTTTTAATGGAAACGAGGCATTCCATCTTAGTCCTCACGGGTGACAACGCATCTGCATTTGATGCAGATGCGTTGTCACCCGTGAGTGAGATTCGAAGCCGTACTTATATAATTCTCCGTGGCGCAGTGGCAATGAGTTGCAGCGCTAAGGGCCGTGGGGTCTGGATGTTTGTCCTTGTGAAATTTATGTATGTAAACTGCCCCCACGATGCAGGAGAAAATTCTAGTGTGGAGGTAACGTTTTTAAAAAATATTGAAAAGAATAATAATGTTTAATGTTATAATATATTTCATAATAATTATATCTGCAGAAATATCGCTGAACAAAATTAACAACATCCGATAATAATTGATAACGTAGCGTAAGGAAAATTCTTATAACCACATTTTACTACGTAAAATATGCATAAATAATTTTAAAAACAATGTTTTAAAATTGCTGAATCCAATTATTATGAACATTCTAAGGCAGAGACAACTAATAAAAAGTAAACACATAAGGGGAGATTATATTCCACCCTGTGACATGCCAGACATTACTTGGTACCAGTGAGACATGTGATGAATGAACAGCTTGGTCACAAGACGCGGAAGAAAACCAGTTAACAACGACGAAAGAAAATCTTAGATTTCGGACCATATAATACTCGTATGAAAGAGATGTAGACATAGTCAACCAACCATGTCTAAAGCATTAGTGAAGTCAATTAGTAAAAGAACTATGACCTTTTTTCTCCTCAAGCTCTCTCTTATGTTCTCTGTGATTTTGAGAACAGTTGTGATTGTGCTGTGTTCTAGGTGAGAGTCTGCATGAAAAAGCATGAAAAAATGTTTTTATAAATAAAACAAGACACTTGTTGATAAATTATAGATTCCAGGAGGTTATATGCAATAATATACATACCAAAAAAGATTAAGTACCTACCTACCTATATTTTATAAAAATAATCGAGAAAAAGAATATTAAAAATTATAATTAATAGAATCAGGCGTTACTTTGCGGAAATCCATTATATAAAAGCTTTTAGAAAAATTTACTTCGCAAATATCCGCGTTATAAAATAAAATTATGTGTCACCACTAATCCCAGCACCGCTACTCCCGCTAAGCGGTTAGCCACCGTAGAGTCTATATCACCTGAGGATGCCTCGTGTAGAGGCGAAACACGTGTCGTATTATCGTCAGTGGTGTGTCTTGCCTAGTGTAGTGGTGTTGGGAGTAGCGGTGCTGGGATAAGTGGTGACGGGGATAGTGCACGCAATTGAGGGAGGGCGGGAGGTGCTCTTCATACTAGGTAAGACACATCATTTTATTTTATAACGCGGATATTTGCGAAGTAAATTTTTCTAAAAGCTTTTATTAAAAGTTATGTTAATACAATAGTAATTAATTTGATTACCTACTTCCTTTACAACTTTTATGTTACCAAAGCAAACAATCCTAAGTCTACATTACTTGACAACGTTCATTTTTAGAATGGGCACTTACAAGATAAAAAAAAACCGAAGGTCGCTTTTGACTGTTTAAATTTACATGGCTTATATAAATGTGTGCTAGCATGTTTTTACTAAAAGGATTGACAAGAAACGTAACCAATGCTTTAATATTCACTTTTTATTTGAGTAGATTTAAATCCCCGTGCAGCCGTGGACTTTTATAAGCTGTAATGGGTGGATGGATGGAATTTCATTAAGTACGTGAGTTTTATTTTAAAGCATTATCATCGTCATCGTTTTCAACTACATTGTTTGATATACTCGTAGGTCTTTTCAAACGTTTGTTTACCTGATTCGGCCGCTGCGATTCGGCAATTGAGGTGTGTACTAATTCAATGTACTCACCTCTAGGAATACTTGTACAGCTTTCTTTTCTCTGCTTTGTTGGAGAAAAATGCAACCAATTGTTACTATGCCAGCCAAACGCTTACAGCGCAACCCCTATGTAACTTTCAAAATACACAATTTGGTGTGAGATATTATATATCAAAAATCTTCTTGTTCCTATGGCATGCACCCTATTAACACTATATATGAACCACAACAGACATTGTGAGTTCGTAAAACTAAGTGATTAATTGATGTGAATTCGTAACAGTCAGTGCTTTAGTTGAATGAATGTACTCTAAAACTTCAATTTGCAAGTAAAATAATGGTCACCCCATTAGTTGTAATGTAGGAACTAAAAAATTCAACTTTATATAGTTATACATGATATATTAAAAAAAAATATAAACGTAGTCGTGCTGAATAAACGAGAATGGCCTGATTGTTCAAAATTAACATTTTTTTGAGAAATCAAGGCGTTACATAATATATTGTTTGCCAAAGATTATTTATTTTTTG